ATATTAAATTTAAGTATAATTATAATTTAATTATATAATTATAAATATAATATAAATATATACATTTAAATATAAATTTAAATGTATATTATATATTTAAATAAACAAGTCCCTTGTTTATTTCCTATTTCCTCCTTTCCCTTTTCCCCTCCCTCCATTGTTTTCTTCCTAGTTCTTTCCCTTGATTCCTTCTTTTGAGGTTTCACTATATAGTACAGGTTGTCCTTGCAATTACAATCTAACTTCAGCTTCTCCAGTACTAGAATTATAGCTGGGCAGGTTTTTAAGTTTTTACTATATGAAGCCATTATATTTGCGGGAGGCAGTACGAGGGTTTGAAGTCAGAACGTTGCTTGGCAGGTGCTATACTGCTAAGCCACACCTGTAGCAGTAAGTTCAAAATAATGTTAGTATTCTTCAATGTCCATTATTTTTAAAACTTTTTCCATGATACTAAAATTCTAAGATTTTCCATATAATAAATATAAGAGAACATAGCAACAATATAATAAAAATAGTTAACCCAATTTGTCCTAAGTGACAACAGATCATAATTTATGGCTGTTGCTACCATTTCTACCAAGGATAATTTGAACAAAAGAGAAGTGCCTTGTGCAAATCACATGTACTAATCATTTCTTGTCTTTACAAGTTTACTACTAAAGTCAAGTTACTGGCTAAACCTAGGGCTACCAGCTAGCAGTTTTGAAAACATTATGAAATAATCACTGGAAAACAGATAAGGCACTGAAAATGAGAAGCTCCAAGAACTCCATCTTACACACTTACACATTGTGACAGATAAACCAAGTTAGGCTTGTGACACCCACTATTTTCCAAGTCTTGGGAGAGCATGAAGCAGGACAGCTGTATGCACCATTAGTACAAACTCTACTAGCATCTTCATGACAAGTCAAGAGGATACGGGCACTCATAATTAGATTATGGAAAGAGTGGGCATTATATCTTTATTTCTGCTCTGCCTCACTTTTGAATTTTCTAAGAAAAACAAGAAAAGAGAAACAAATCCAAAGGAGCAAAAGAACTGTATATCCCAGCAAGATAGGTAAATTTGCTGCAATAATTATGGGTACCCAGGAAGTTCAGTAGTGTTTCCAGGCAGCACAGGACTTCACATATTCTTTGCAAAGTTGTTAGTCTTTGTTAGTTTTGACCCTGAGTATAGTACTTTTCAGAATTAAAGCAACTCTATACCAAGCACTATATTTAACCTTTAGACGTCTAGAACCTTCATGAGCATACAAAACAATGAGATGTACTTTCTGTAATTAGCCCTTTATGCTATACTTTATGCCAGGCTCTTACCATCCCATTTCTAGCAAGGTTTAACTGATTGTTGGTTTATCGCTTTGACGATACTGAAAAGTATATGACTATAGAAAAAAAGTAAACATAATTTAATTACCAACAGAAATGTACTTGGTTATTCAGTAGTTACATCATTTTATAGAAGTAACCAAGTACTAAAATATGAACACTATGTATATATACTTTTTGATGGTATAAGGGTTTGAACTCAAGGCCTTGTGCTTGTGATATAGGCTTTTCCTTTCATTGCCTCATTCAGATGTGGATAGTTGACTGCATTTAGCAGCTATTGACAAAATATATGTCATACTTCAATTTGGTACTGCTATGGCTTTTTGGACCTGTGGATTATTTTCTTTCAGCCCCAGTCCAAATGAACTAATATTACTTTATATTTGGGGTATTTTTTTTCATTACCATTTTTGGTGTTCCATTAAGAACATATCTATGGGTTTTACATATCTATTGGTCTCTTACTAAAGAGCCATACTTTTGCAGTTATTTTCATCTTACAATTGGTATAAATTAAGGGTTTGTATTCAAGCTTTGCCCAAAGATTCTAAAAACAGAATTCTTTAGTCTAAACTATATAAAAAGAATGCTTCACCTGCAGGAACTTTTTTTCTCTATTAAAGTGTGCAATCAACTGTGTGTGTATATACATATTTATATTTGTTGGTTGTGGGCCTTAAACTCAGGGCTGGGTGCTGTACCTGAGCTCTTTTGTTCAAGGATAGCACTCTACCACTTGGAGCCACAGTGCCACTTCTGGTTTCTGAGTGGTTAATTGGAGATAATAGGCTCATGGGGACTTTTCTGCCAGGGCTGGCTTTGAACTATGATCTTCAGATCTCAGTCTTCTGAGCAGCTTGGATTACAGGTGTGAGCCACCAGTACCAGGGTTCAACTGTAAAATAAGCTACTTTCAGGCTTGCTGGTTAACACTGGTATAGGGCTATGCCAATAAAATATATGCATTTAGGGGCTGGGAAGGTGGCTCAGTGGTAGAGTGATTGCCTTGAATGCATGAGGCCCTGGGTTCGATTCCTCAGCACCACATAGGCAGAAAAAAGCCGGAAGTGGCGCTGTGGCTCAAGTGACAGAGCACTTGCCTTGAGCTGAAGAGCTGAGGGACAGCACCCAGGCACAGAATTCAGGTCCCACAACCAACCAAAAAAAAAAAAAAGCATTTATTATTTCTGTACATTTTTTTCTTTTGGCTGGTCATGGGGCTTGAACTCTGGGCCTGGGCTAGTGCTCTGCCACTAGAGCCACAGTGCCACTTCCTTTCTCTACTTTTTTTAAAAAATGAGAAATTTCACAGGTATATCATGGATAATGTCCGTAAAACTGATTCTAAGGTCTCAGAGTCAGCTTGCTGATTAATTCCCCGCCCTGTGTCCCTACCTGTTTACAAGTCTGTTTTTCTTTCTTTCCCAGATGCTGTATTGTTTTCCTGATGTGATATACAAATTCCCACCCAGTTGGAATGGTCTTGTTATACTCCTTCTCGGAATGTGACTCTCCCCGCAAATTTTTGTAGTCCATGTAAACCTTCATAACACCTTCTTCTCAGAACTGACTCTCCACTTCCCATCCCTCAAGTCCCATGGTCCATGTAACGTGACCCATGTGACTGCCCCTAAAATTTTGTTTAACGTCTGTCCACACCTGTTCACGGCTGTTGCCTCCATTCCTGCGTGGAGCAGCCCGGCAGGTCTGCCCCCCAATAAAGCCTTGAGCTTGGATCGTCACTCTTGCTTGCCTCTCACTTCTTATAAGTATCAAAATGAAAAATGTAAGTAAGCAGCTGGCATAAGTTGCTTATGGCAGCATACAAGCACCTTGCATGACTGTTAGCTAGACAGAGAAGGAAAACATGTAAAATAAAACAATGGAGAGATTTAGTTGACTTCATTATAGATTTTTTTGATATCCACTATGAACAAGTTACACAAATATCAACTGAATAAAGCAGTTATATGGGAAGCCTATACAGAATTCCTATATTTCTGTGATATATTTCTTCAAGTGTTTAACCTCCCTCTGTTCCCTCTACTAAGGTTTGGGGTGAAAGAAAAAATAAAACAAAAATTAAAAACAGAAATAATAAATACTTATTGACTACCTAACAACTGGCACTATCCTAAGAATAACAACTTTACACCCAATTATTAGGGAAGAGGTATAGGAGCAGGAAGAAGAGGCCTGGGAAAAAAGAGGAGGAGAAAACAAGCAAGACAACAACCATAAAGACAAGTAATAATTATGCAAACTAGAAAAAATGTCACTAAGCCAAGAAAATATTAGGGGCTTCATACTAAAAGCTCATAAATTCTACTATGTGTGTGTGTATGTATGAGATAACTGAACCACTATAACTGAAGAAAACCGCCTCCAAAGTTTAGAAGCTGCCAGCTTACAAAGGATGAGTTTGTTACAAGGGAGAAATGGCTTTGGGATTATCACCTTTTAATACCAGAATCTACAATAAAGTGGAAACAATATTGATTAAAGAATGAAAAGGACAACACTGCAAGTTAAGAATCTTACACCTAGCCTAGAAAAAAAATCTAGAAGACAAAATGATATTCAATAACTAAGTTATACCACCAAAAGCACCACCTAAATATGGCATTTTACAATTTATACTGGCTCTAGTCAGAAGAATGGTTGAAAAAGTCATTGTTCAATCACAAGATGTAGTATCAGCAGTTAACAAGAAGAATGAATTCATTGTAATAGATGACACAAGAGGATTTCTGAGCTGTATCTGAAAGAAGATCAAGACAGAACTATGTATATGCTGCTTTTGTAAAACAAATCCATCCCCCTATATGTGTACACAGGTCTGTATAGGGCTGCAAAATCAAATAATACATATTAGTTTAATAACCTGGACTGTGGCAAGAGGGGTAAAGGATGGGGATTGAGGTACTAACGTGAGGAATTTCTGTTGTAACATCAGCATGACTAAACACCCTACTATAAGTAATTATGCCAGCCGGGCACCAGTGGCTCATGCCTGTAATCCTAGCTACTCGGGAGGCTGAGATCTGAGGATCATGGTTCAAAGCCAGCCCAGAAAGTCCGTGAGATTCTTTTCTCCAAATAACGTCCAGAAAACCTGAAGTGGTGCTGTGGCTCAAGTGGTAGAGAGCTAGCCTTGAGCTGAAGAGCTGAGGTACAGCGGCCAGGCCGAGTTCAAGCCCCACGACCGAAAAAAAAAAAAAAAGTGCCATAAACAGATTTATGGAGAAGTTACCAAAATGTTAGAGATGGTTATCTGGCTCTTTCTTGATTTTCCAAAACAAGGCCTCAAACTTGATTTGATAATTTAGCCTACAAGTAATGCTACCATGCTCAGCTTCATTTCCAAATATTTACTTTTGCTGCTGTTATTCTTAGTAAAAGTCTTTCTTTCTCCCCTCCTCCCTTCTTATGGAATTGAATGCTAGGCAAGCACTCTACTACTTGAGCCATATGTCCATTCCCTTTGTTCGTGGAGATAGAAACTTAGCCTGGGCTGCCTTTGAACTCTCAATTCATCAGCCTTTCTGCCTCCAGAGCAGTAATAAGTCATCCTTGAAGGTGGAAGTAACAGGCTGATAAGCCTGAAGTCTCTTAACTCCATATGTCTGCATAGGTTCACACAATATGCTCAAGACCAGTTGAGACACTAACTTCTGTTCTTGTATTTAGCAACAGAGGGAGACCCAGGCACAGCAACTGGGATCAGTGAGGTAAGTTCTGAGTAAAAAACCTATACAGAAGTCTCTTTCAGAATATTTTATACAAATGTTAACCTCATTTTAAAACGTGTATGGGGGAATATCACCCAAACACAGGGTTAATTGTCAGGAAAAGATGGAACAGTTAAAAAAAAAATCTACACAAATGAAGGTACTAAAGGCTGATGTTCATCCTTCCTCATCGCTGCTGCTCCAGGCATCTTCAAATGCTTGATTTACTTGTGATTTGGTGGTAGTCTAAAGAAAAAAAAAAGGAAGATTCTATTTTTCTACTTCATAATTTTAGGCTCGTAATACAGTTATAAAATATGTCAGAAAAATAGCAATTATTCTTAAGGCTAATTGCAAAATAAAAGAAATACTCCCAAATATAAGGTAATTTATGAATTCATTTGGACTAGGGCCAAAAGAAATAATCCAGAGGTGCAAGAAGTTATAGCAGCTGCAAACTGAAATATATTTTTTCAATAGCTGTTAGATGCAGCTGTTAGTCAACTATTCAGGTAAAAATTTTATGACACTTAGTTTTTGACATAGCCTTGCTTTCACAAAGGAATTAAAATACATAAAAAATGATTCTGGAAATGCCAAACTATCAATAAGTTTCTTCTACTTCTATACACAGTGCTTTGTTTTTACTATGGCTTAGGTTAAGATTACCTTAAGGTACTTCTGATTACTTGTAGTTTAAAAATTATAAAAATATTGTTTTGATTTTTAAACTTTTTATAGACTAGATATTAAGATAAATGTGGATGATTAACAGTGCCTAGATTAGTACTGGGAAAAGATAGCACTTTTCCACAATTTATTCCTTAATACAGCTTGATATTAATTTAAAGAGAAATAGAGTCTAGTAAAAGGCCACAGATCATATATTATTCATGTCTGCTTACCCACTGCATTTTGGTATTTTTAGTGGTACTAGGATTTGGACTCAAGGCATCACAATTGCTAGACAAGTACTATATCACTTCTGCCACATCCTCAGTATTTTTTGCTTTTGTTTTCTTGAGTAGGGTCTCATGTTTATGCCTTGTGCCTACTTGGACTGTTATTCTCCAATTTATGGTTCTCCCATAGCTAGGATAAATAGAAGCACACCAATAGGCCCACCGTGGTTGAGATGGGGGTCTCATAAACTTTTTTTTTTGCCTGTGTTGGCCTCAAACCAAAATCCTTCTGATAGAGGTCCTTTCAAGGAGCTATGATTTCATTCATGAGCCAGCATACCTGGCATTCACTGCATTTCTAAGGCTCTTTACTCAGTCATATTTGTACTATTTTATCCTATAAAACAGATACTTGAAATTGTTAAGAGGATGGTGAGTTGGTAAAGTATGACTGTGTGAACAAAGAACCTTAATAATGCTATACATAACAACTCAAGAGGTAAGTTTCCTTCTAGGAATCTATCCTAAAAAAAAAAAAAAAAAAGAGGAAATATAAATAACTTGAATAGGTATTTATCTTGATGTTGTTTATAATACTCAACAGAAATGGGAAGATATTTAAATTGTAATATATAAATGGTAAAACAGATACCAAGACAGGACTATGAACAAATATACAGTTACATGTTTTTAATGCATGCATAGGAATAAACAAGAAAATAAATAAATAAAAATGTGTTAACTGGAGAGAAATTTCACATTTTTTGGATATATTTCTGAATGTGTTGTAACAAATAAATTTTATAATCACAAAATAGCAAGAAATGCTTTGAATGTTTCTCCCATGTAAGCTAATAAGACTTAATTCCTTATGATTGAGAAGTGACTCTAAAATTTGTAAAAATAATATTTACCTCATCATCATCAGGAATGGGTTCATATAAGGATGGTACCCAAGCAAGAATGTTGCAGTCTCTGCTACCACTGTAAAGTTCCTAAAACACAGAAAGTGAGCTATGATTGTGGGTTATTTTAAAGCTTGTACTTACCTAAAGTGAGTGAGTTCTTAAGCTGGATTAATTAGATTAATTCTGTTTCTACTGAATGAAGAACCTGGACTGATACCCATTTTACTTTTTATTCATTTGAAAGCTGCAGTAAAGCTTTGATTTGCTTAAAAAAATTAAGGTATGTTGGAGCTTACCAATGGTGTGAAAAATGTACAAAACCCATTCATATTCTAGAGGTTGGACCAATACTAGTACCTATATATTTCAATTTTCAGGAAAAGAAAAACTACCTATAGTAAATAGTCTTTGCCAATAATTGAGCTATATAATAAATATTTCAATGAAGAAATCACATGAGTATTCTACCAAAATAGCAAGTGCAGAAGTTCACAAAAAGTTTTATTTAACTTAATACTGCCAACTGGCTCCTCTTTACCACAGAGCTTGAAGAAAGATCCCACACTGCCTGTTGAAAAGTTTACTTCATAAAAGCCTGGGCTGATGTTCAGCCCATGTCAATCAATGTCCTGGTGAACATGCTGTTTGCTTCTAACCAATGCTCTCAGCCCTCCCCAACAAAACTCAGTTATGTTGGTTTTGAACCAGCAAATACATGTAATATTGGCATATCCTTTTGCATAACAGAATTTTAATATGTAGTCAGCTTTTATAGTTATTTCTAAGAAATTATAGCAATGCACCAAAAATTCAAAAATACCATCCATGTAAAATGTATAACAATGAAGATAAAAACTATTGTCAGTGAGTACATGAATGGCTGTCAATAAAAAAATGTTATATTCATATGATAGAATATGACAGTCATTATAATTGTTTCTGAAGAATATTTAGTGACATTGGGAAATATTAAATATCAAGAGATTGTAATATAAATCAAATACTCAAAATATAAAGGAAAAAATCGAACATAAAAACAAGTCAGCTAGGCACCGGTGGCTCATTCATGTCTGCAATCACAGCTATTCAGAGGGCTGAGATCTGAGGATCATAGTTTGAAGCCAAGCTCTGTGAGACTCTTATTTCCAATTAAGTACCCAAAAAAGCCAAAAGTGGATCTGTGGCTCAAGACAGTTAGCCTTCATCAACAAAGCTCAGGGACATTGCCCAGGCTCTGAGTTCAAGCCCCAGGACTGGCACACATACACACACAAAAGGGTGAACAAATGGGGCAGTGGTACTCACCAGACACTACATTTGACTATACAACTTGTTTGTGGGCACGGGAGGGAAAAACTGGGAGAGAATGAGGGAAGGAATGACATTGTCCTAAGAGAAATGTACTCATTACCTGACTTCATGTAACTATAACCTCTCTGTATATAATCTTTATAATAACAATAAAAAAGGTCCATCTAAAGAAAAAAACAACTATGAAAAGGAAAAAGAAGGGTAAGAAAGGAGAAAAAGAGAAAAAGGCCAAAGACCAATAAAAGTTCTTATAAAAGCTTAAAATCAAAATAGTCTTTTTCTTTCTTTTCTCTAAGTAGCTGGACAAAGAGTTTCAATTCAACAGGTCAGTTTGTGAGTATAATGTCATGATCAAGGCCATACACCAAACATAACAACAACAAAGAAACCCTCCAAACAAAAACATAAACAAAACAAGATTAAGAAGCAACATTTAATTAGAATATTCATAGAAACCTCAAAGCTTAAGCTGTAGGTGCAGTACAGAAAATTTTTTTTCTGAACTATGGGCAAGTGTAAGGTCCTACTGTTCTTGAAGAGTATCTATTTCCTGTGAACAAAGGCACTTGCATATATAGTTACAATATAACCAACAAAATCAGAAAATTCACATTGACGTATTAGAAATACCTTAATTCTTAAATCCTACTCAAGTTTTACCAACTGTCCCAATAATGTCTGTTATAACAAAAGGGTTTTTATTATGAATCACATGCTAATATCATTTCTCTTGTTTTCAATCTGGAACAGTTCTTGATCTCTGGCTTTTCTGACCTTCAAAGTTTTGAAGTGCATACTAGTTATTCAGTAGGATGTCCTTCAAATTTGGCTTGCTTTCTGTTTCCTCATGATTAAAATCAGGTGATTGAATTTTGTAGGAATATTAGAAAAGTAATGTCTCATAATTGAGTCATCTCTGATTATTTGATTAAGGTGATACATGCCAGGTTTCTTTAAGGTACAATTATGTTTAGCTTTTGTATTTAATATTTTGTAGGATTGTGTTCAGAGGCTATGTAAATATTTTGTTGGTAATCAATTTTTCAGTATGTTAAATATAAAAGATTAGTTTCATAAATTTCTATTTGTTAATACATTGTAATGTATTACTATTATAATTTCCATTTTGAGTATATATTGTCAAGATTTTTGTATTTATATAATTAGTATATTTTTTTCAGAACCTTCTGCTAAATGGATGCCAAAGTACCGCCCTTTTTTTTCTTTTCCATATTTTTATTAGTGTCAATCAGTTGCACAAGAGGTTTAACTTTGATATGTCCATATACGCATATAATATACCTTTGTAAATTCACTTGCTTATCATCCTTTCTCATTCTCCTTGCCATCCTTCCCAAACCAATCTCAACAAGCTTCCTTGTTCCATTTTCATCCAGGTACATAAAGTATTTTGTCCAGTTCATCCTCCTTTATCCTGTTTGCCCTCCCCACTTCCCACTAGAACCTACCTTCTCTTAAAAACAAAAACTTTTATATTCCCTGTCATTCATTTATTAGTGTATGCTAACTTTTGAAGAGGTTTCACTATATTTCACATTATTTCCATTTTCAGAATCATAATATGTAAAATGGACTGAGAGTAGGGAGTTTTCTGATATAGTTTAGTGATTAAAATCTTTCTGAATTGTATATATATATAGAAATAGCATTTGATGGGTAGCAATTTGCCTCAGGTCTCTGGCTAATTTAGCTATTCCAGGGACTGAAAAGAATCTACTATACCTCAGTATACTTTATTAATTCTAGATATACCTATTAGGAAACTGATTTTGAATAAAGACAAATTTTATAGTCAAAATACCATGGTTAAAATCTTGGATGTGTCTCTAAGTGAAAAATACTATTCTATAATTTTCTTTGAATAGAGAACCACGCTTTGTCAATACCTATTTACAGGTTTAGAGTAAGTCATGTTTCCCCAGAAATATCAACAAAATTTTAACTAGTACCTCAGGACAATGCATAGTCAGAGAGATAGTGAATATAGGGTTAGAGTAGGGTTCTGGGGGCCTCTTCAAGTTGCTGGGCTGAGTTGAGGCCTAAGTCACTTGGTAGGGATTGGCACAGTAGCTGTTTACCAGCCAATAGGATATATACATACTGAAATAAAATAATAGTGTGTATTATCATGATATTGTACATTGGATGAAATATCAGGTCTATATATCTTATAACACAATGTCAGGCATAAAGTAGGTAATTATTGTTATGAATGAATGAACAGAACAAGAGTTGTCCCAGGTGATATAGTCTTTTCAAGCTCTAATAATCCAATGTTTAATTAACAGTATTTACCAGTATTTAACTTTTATGATTTTCATGTTCCCTACCCATATAACAAGGAAATACTAAATATCTTGCTCTATTAGATTTATTTAAAGAAGTAGATGAGGTCATTTGTACAAATGTTCTTTCAAAAAAAAACTTGCATCAAAGGTAATACCACTAAAAATGATCTTGATGGTAAATAAAAGAACATTAAAAGATACCGAGTTGCATAAAAGGTATACTGTTATAACCACTGGCAGGAAATTAAAGAAATTAAAATTTCAGCATACCTACATATATATGAACCAAGATGCATTTTGAGATTAAATACCTATATTTATTTACCCAAAGAAACATAGGTCCCATGGTTTCCCTTATTGGCAATAAATAGTATACATCTAGGATAATCTTATCAGATGAGCAGAATCGCTCAACAGCTATGTACATATGACTATATAAGATGATGCTAAGTGAAATGAACTCCAAGACATGGACACAAGGCTTTTCTTTGTTGTTGTTAATGTACTGTGTGATTTTTTTTGTTTCTTTTGTATGTTCTTCCCCTTATGGTATATTCCTGTTGTCACTGTATTTGATTTTGGTACTCTGGCATTGTATATGTTTATCTGAATTAGGGAAGACAAAGGGAACAACAGAATGGTGGGACAAAGGACAAGGAGGGAACCAACGCAACAGCAACACACACAAGACAGTATGTTGGAAATGATCTGTACAACTTGGGGGGATTTGAGGGGGAGTGAAAATGAGGGAAGGAGTAACAAATTTGACAAGAAATGTACTTTCTTGTACAAGAAATGTACATAAATCTTATTTATGTAACTGTAACCCCTCTATACATCTCCTTGACAATGAAAAAAATGTGAAAAAAACCAGTTGCATTGATTCAAAGGTCTACTTTTATAATCATTGGCAGGAAGTTAAAGAAATTAAAATTTCAGCACATCTACATATATACATGAACCAAGATGCATTTTGAGATTAAACACCGATTTATTTATTTTTTTACTCTAAATATTCCTTTATTTTTAACAAAATATTTCATCCAAGATTCTGAAGGAACTCAGACAAAAGAAAAATAATTCCAGCAAAATTCCATGTATTATATTGATTCATATAAAAATATATGTATATGTATAATCTAGACTATATTAATGTCTATTAAATAAATTATAGGTCAAATGTGGATTTAAAGTATAATTCTTTAGAATGAAATCACAACCTGCTGGTTTATACACTAGTCAGCAAGCTAGCTCTATAAACATTTTGAATTCTTTTAAGTACCATTCTTACCTGGAAATTAGACTGAAATACACAGCAGTCAACACTTTTATAATGTCCCTTAAGCATAGTTATCTGTTCTCCTGAGTAAACTGCATAAACAGCAATGGTGCTACCATATGGTACAAAAACAAATTCTGAACTGCAGCCACAGGAGACAGTGAATTTCAATCCTTTTCTACTGTCATTACAAACTTTTCCATAGTTCACCTGTAGGAATAAAATCATAAAGTTACTCATTTCTTAAAACTGAATTAACAAAAAGACAACAAACACTTGGAGAAATATTTCAAACTATTTCCTTCAAATATTATAACACTATATAAAGAGCTCTTAAGTTTAGAGAAAATGTCCAATGTTATAAATAGGAGGGCCAATGGCATGAATGTGCATTATATATAAGAAGAAATACAAATAGTGAGAAAAACACAAGGGTAAATGTTCATATTTCATCTTTGATAGAAGTAAAAATGGAAATTAAAACAATCTAGACTAATTTGGCGAGGGGAGTAGTGCTTTGAAATGGAACTCAGAGGCTACAAATAGATAGACAAGCACTGTACCACTGGGCTACAGTAAGAACCTCTGGGTTTAGCAAAATATAACACCACCAATAATGGCATGAGTGAAATAAAGAGACTGGTGTAACTATAATTTGGTCATCCTTTCTAAAGGGAAATATGGTTTTTTTTTAATGTAATAAAACAGAAAAACAGGAAGTGGTTCTATAGCTCAATTGGTAGAGCACTAACCTTGAGCACAAAGAGGCTCATGGACAGCACCCAGGCCCTGAGTTCAAGCCCCACAGCTAACAAGTATATACTGTCCTAAAACAGAAAAATCCTGAGGGTTTTTTTTTTATTTGGGGGGGGGGGGGGGAAGTATGTATAATGTCCTATTCTTTTTACTTATTTATTTTTAAATGGTGGTTAAACATAAGATTGGCCATCTTAACTTTTTCTTTTTGCTGATAACTCCCTGGGTACTGTCCCTAAGCTCCTTTTACTTAAGGCTAGTACTCTACCACTTGAAACCACAGTTCCACTTACAATTTTCTGGTGGTTAATTGAAGATAAGAGTCTTATGTACATTCCTGCCTGGGCTGGCTTGGAACCACAATCCTCAGATCTCAGCTTCCTGAGTAGGTAGGATAACAAGCATGAGACACTGGCACCTGGTCATCTTAACTATTTTTAAATACATAGTTTGTGGCACTAAATACAGTGCCATTGTTGAACAACCACCACGACTGTCCATCTCTAGGACTCCTCTCATCTTGCAGAACAGTACTCATTATCTTGACTTAGTAATTGCTCCTGAGAATTTATCTTAGGGAAATAATTAAACAACAGAAAGTAATATGCTCAAGGTAATTAAAGGCAGCATTATCTAGAATGGTGAAATAACGGAAAATGGATGTAATATTTCCAATGTGATATCAACTCTTTGGCTTATATAAATTACAATTGTGAAACTGCAGGGAACAAGGATAAAAGCTAAGAATAAACAGCATAGAAAACTAACGGTATATACAGTATCATGTAATTTCAGTTATATATAGGTAATGTAATTATGTATTGAGGACAAAGTGTTAAGTCTATCCTGTTATGCAAAAGGGGTAATGTGTATGCCCAGTGGAAGGTGCATCACTTGAGTAGTCAGATATGCAGACTTCCAGGAAATCAATAGGTTTACTTACTGCTGATAATGAAAACCAATAGTTAACCAATTGGGAATTATGAGCATGCAGATCACCCTTCAACGTGACTAACACAAGAATTTATAAGTCATTTGTCTTTTTTTTTTTCTTAAAGTTAGGTGGCAGAGCATGTACGTATATAAGTAAGAGATATTGAGGCCCAAATGGATGCTACATTTGGCTTACCTTCAGGTTCACTAATAATAGAAACAAGCAGATACTTTGGTTCACTGCATGCAGTAGTAATATAAATGTGTTCACCATTGTATTTGTAGTCAGTAGACTTTTTTTTTTTTTTTTTTTGTCGGTTGTGTGGCCTGAACTCTGGGCCTGGGTGCTGTCCCTCAGCTCTTCAGCTCAAGGCTAGCACTCTACCACTTGAGCCACAGAGCCACTTCTGACTTTTTCTGCTTATGTGGTGCTGAGGAATCGAACCCAGGGCCTCATGCATGCAAGGCAAGCACTCTACCACTGAGCCACCTTTCTAGCCCTAGACTTGGATTTTGAACTCAGTTTTTAGGCCCCTTATGAATTGTGCTTACTTAGCTTTCAAGTTAAATTATTTTGCAAAAATTAAGTGAAATAATACATATGAATATATACCTGGAATATAAATGGAATCAGTTAAGCCCCTAGATTTAGGGGCTCTTACCTCCTAGTCTAACAAAGTATAACATTCTCTCATTTGCACTTGTTAATGCTATATATACTACAATTTCTAGAATATGTAGGGGCAGGTGGAGAAAAACAAATAAACATCACTAAATGCCTTTAACTAACAATTCTCCATTCCCTCTGGAAAATTATAAATTGATAGACTTGTGATGGCCTTATCCCACTTTATCAGAAAACCTACCTACAAAAAATCCATGTTCTTTCTACTATATCATATATCTTCCCAAATTCAAACTAGAATGTGCTAAATGTAATGTGAGCATGGAAGCAACTTACTCACTGTGGTCTTTTGTCCTTAAGGAATTCTTCTTCCAATTCACCCTGCTATCTATCTATCTGTCTCTCTTATATCTTATCCATCTACTGATTCATTCAATCATTTATTCATTCATCTAGACAGGCTCCTGCTATGAAACCAAGGTTAGCGTCAAACTCACAATCCTCCTATCTTAGCATCTATACTGAGATTACAAGTGTGTACCCAATGCTAGATTCTCTCTCTCTGGTATGTGGTACCAGGTATTGAATTGCAGGATCCTCCTGCTTGCTAGGGAAGTATTGTGCCACTTAAGCTATGCCCCCAGCCCTGTTGTTTTTGAGAGTCTTCCTAACTTTACCTAGCCTAGCCTTGAACTTGAGATTCTGCTGCCTCCACTTTTCTAGTAGCTAACTATTCTTGAATTCTTCCTGCAATTTAGTGTCATTTTGGTCTTTATCAAACCACCTGTGGGCTAAAAAATTATCAACAGCTCTTCAATGCCCATATGAGAATGAAGTTCAAAGAGATTATGCAAGGGCGAGACCTACCAGCTATGAAGTGCTAATTCTATGTTTCATACTATGCTACATGCTTACCATAAAAAACAGTATGTGGTGAGTGGCCATGTTTTAAACTATTATGAAGGTATTGAAGAACAAGTTACTTTTTATGATGTTTCAAAGGATGGAATTTAAGGTAGGTAAGCTTTCGAAAGATTTTGAGGAAGATATTGTAGACTTAGAACAGGATAATTCTATGTCTTACATGATTCCTCATTTACTGAATGTAAACATTTGTTACTAGATAAGGTGCTACTCATTTCTGAAATTCTAGCTACTCAGAAGGCTGAGACCTAGAGGAACGCAGTTCAAGGCCAGGCTAATCCAAAAAGTTTGCAAGAATACATCTTCAGAAAATGCCAGGCTGGGTGTGTGGCAAGGCTCATACGTGGTAGAGACTAAAAAGCACATAAAAATAAACTCTATTTTAACTGTCACACAAGAATCTACTACTTTCAACCAAGCATGGTGGCTCATGCCTGTAATTCTAGCCACTTCTGAGGCTAAAATCTGGAGGATTGTGGTTAAAAACCACTTTGGGCAAAAAAGTCAGCAAGATTCAATTTCCAATTAATTACTGGACTGGCTCAAGTGGTAGAGTACCAGTCATGATCAATAAAATCAACACAAAACCCTGAGTTCAAGTCCTTGTACATATACAATAAGAATCTAGTACTTATCTCATTATTAAATAAAATACTATATATCTTGATATTATAATATTTACCTTAGGATTATTTAAATATCACTTATAGTATAAAATTTCATTATTTTTAACCTTAATCTGTGTTGGTAGTTTTCAGTAATTTACTTTTCCAGTATATCGGAGCAACATAGTACACTCCCAACAGAGCAGTTCCCAGTATGTTTCTCCTCAAGTAGAGGGAATATAGAAGAAGGTGAGGTACAGGTAGGTTATCTTGCTTTCATAGTTCATATATAGTATTTAAAAAAACCAGCTATGTTTCAGAAGCAAGACAAAAACTTAAATCTATAGAAAAATATAAAGTATGTGCCACATATCCATTTTGTTAATTTATGTGTAAAAAGGTACGTAGTAATCTCTTACTAGTGTGTTTTCTCCACTGGAACTGTTCCAGAGCCTCATTCGATCATCTGTACCAACAGTGAGAAGGTGAAGTCCATCACTTGTAAAACATAAGCCATTAACTTTCCCATTATGAGCAGTATTTGCTGCAATGAAAAACAGAACTCACTTTATTTTTTCCTGTGTTCAGAACCTATTTAATGCTTAACAACATATTTAGACATACTAAAATATAACATTAGGAATTACTAAAATATAGGTTATGTTTAAAATTAACCAATCTTCAGCTTATTTACACACAATAAGATATATAAATCAGGAACAACAGGGAAAATATGAAAACTAAAGGAAAATAATCTTGCCAGCACATTTTTTTCAGGAAATTACACTGTCAAATGTAAATAAATGTATAATTTAACACTTAAACTTCAAATACTTCTCATTCTTCTTACAGGGTCTCACTGTACACATTGGCTGTAGCTCAGTTAACATGCTTGTCTAGCATATGAAAAGTCCAGAGTTTGACTGCTAGTTTCCCACCCATATACCATCCAAACACACACACACACACACACACACACACACACACACACACACACACACACGTATGTATGTATTCTGTATATAAAATAGTATTATATAGTAAATTCTGTAAAGCAAGTTACTACAGAAAAGTTGCTCTATTTAAAATTTGGAGGCAAAAATCCCACAAACCATCACCATGGTTTATAACTTGGAAAAAGATTATCCTAAATTAGGTTTAGAAAGTAGTTTCTTTAAAAAAATATCATAAAGTTTGTACTTAGCCAATGTTAATTATTCATTATTTAGCTTCAATGAAAATACTTCAATATAAAAAGATAGTATTCTCATATTCCTGAATTACTGTAGTTCTCATACCTGATTCGACAGCTTGTGATTTTTTACCATTATACTGATCAAGAGTAATCAAGCATCCTGATGCTCTCCTCACATCCCATAATTTTACTCTACTGTCAGCACTGTGAAAAATGAATATAACATTGACGTAAGTAGCCAGAACAGTGAACTGTACACTCCAAGCATTATGACACACAGAGGTTTCATTTGATTAGCACAAATGTTTTTGTATAATTACATTGTTGTAATATTGCCTTCTCAGTAAATATTCTTCAATCAACAGTCACATAAAGAGGTGAAAAAATACCAGAAAGGTGAACTTTCTTTTTTAGATCACAAGGACCAAATTCTGCTGTTTTTTATATTGGTTTAATTATGCAAACATCTTTCCCCACAAGGTACTAGCAAGTCTGTTATTGTATGTTTTCTATTATTCAAATACTGTCTAGCCAAACAAATTTCACTTCATTTAAGAATCTATTTGATATGAATTAGGAGTTTTTTAAAAAACTTCTTATTAAAAATTGAGAGTAAGGTGCATAATGAGAACAATTTATTTTTATTTGGTTTCTTACACTCAAATCAATCTTTGTCAGATATAACTATATTTAATTTTCCTGACATTCAACAATCATTTTGAAAACTATTAACAGAAGCTTCGTTGGGGATTAAGTTACAATAAAGTTAGTATAATACATTTTAAAAAATCCAGATATAGATCTTTACCAAACTAACATGAATTGTTTCACAGAAAGCTTCATCAAAATGTTTCCATTGAAAGAGGTTGGGATTAAGCCCAGAGTAACAGTGCATGCATGAGTGGCATTCAGGAGCTCAATCCCCAGAAGTACTACCCCTACAAAAGAATAATGTGTTTATATAAGGTCCTTGAGCTAGTGCTGTACCACTTGTGCCACAATGCCACTTTCAGCTTTTTTGAGTAGTTTATTGGAGATAAGAGTCTCAAGGACTTTCCTGCCCAGGCTGGCTTCCAGCCTCAATACTCAGATCTCAGCCTCCTGAGTAGTATGAGCCACTCACATCCCACTCATAGCTTCTTTTTGAATTTTCTATTTTTTTGGTCCAAGACTGGGACTTGAACTCTGTATCTGATGCTTTGTTCATTGGCTAGCACTCTATTACATGGGCCTCACCTCTAATCTTGAATTTTCTTACGTTGACACATATACCTACTTCTGACCCTTCCTATAAATGTTTTTAAGGTTTTTTTTTTTAATTTGGGGTTTGAATTCAGGCCATCTGTTCTCACTCTGGGCTTTTTCTACTCACAGTTGGTACTCTACCATTTGGGCCTCATCTCCACTTTCATCTTTTGGCTGGCTAATTGGAGATAAATTTCTTGAATTTGTCTGTCTCTCCTGGTTGCCATCTGTGAACCTGAGATCTCAGCCTCCTGAGAAGTTAGGATTATAGGTGGAAGCCAACAGTACCTGACTCTCTTCTCCAATTTGTTTTGATGATTTTTTCCCCCTTATACGTGGGACTTAAACAACTTTCATATGATGAGGTACTTTCCTCTAACCATTGAAAATTGTCTACTCTGTCATTTGATGTTTTGATTTCCGTAGCTTTGAATATAGGTAGCTTACAACTTCAGCAGGGCACAACTGCCCTGAAATCTGACATTTTCCTAATCAGATCTATCTTCTATTTAGATCTTTACCATCTTCCTTCAGACTTCTATCTTTATTCCCATATTTCACATTTTTGAAAGATAACATCAAGTCCTACTTCAGTAATAAATAATAGAAGCAATTAGGTTTGTATTTCTTGAATGTGTCTTCAAAGCTACAAACAGCTGTATTCATTTCTACTCACCTTCCAGTTTCTTTCTTGTGTCAAATGTAGTGTCTCCCCTATGTCTGGACCCTGCTCTTAAGTCTTTCCTGTTGATTCAAGGTCCTGAAGCACTTATTCCCTCCATTTCTTATCTTATCTTATGTTTCTCTCTAGTACTACTTCCCTCACAGTACATAAATATATATAATACTCTTCCCTCCAACACATAGCCCACACATCTGCAATCTTTTGAATCTAGGTAAGGGCTCTTGCTTTTATTTTTACATTATACTTCACAAAGATACTCTAGTAAAAGTATTTTTAAAATGTCCTGTTAGTACTGTTTCTCTTCTTGAGGCTGTTAGCTTATTGAATTCTTATACTATGTCCCTAATATGACTGGCACATAGTAGAGAGCCATTATATATTAATAAATTGAATCAATGACTAGATATTTTATATCAGAGTCAAAATAATTCTAGCTTAACAAAATGAATAAACTCTGCTTTAATACATATTCTACTTTCACATGCAAAAATGACATAATAATTTTTGTCTTGTTGTTACTTTACTAGTAGTTCCAATTGATTTGCACCACTACATATATTCTCCATTTTTTCCCTCGGCTCTAAACAATGAAAACCTTCAAGATGGATAGTTATGATACAGAGAAAGATTGGTATTATGAATTAAAATTTCTAAATAACTCATTTCTCAATGGCTAATTAACAATAAAATATACTAAAATATATTCTCAAATTATGTATATTACATACATGAAGCCTTTTAGAAGTACTTATTATTACTTACTAATACTAGCACCAAAACCAAATCAATTGCACTTTACCTTGCAGTTGCCAAGATATAGTCATAACGTGGTGACCAGGAAACCGCTAATATTTCTTGTCTGTGACCTGAAAATACAACTGTATGAAAAGTCTTACAAAATACTTAAACTAAAGTGTCAAAAATTTTTCCTGATTTCAAATAAACCAAAAATAGTAAGAGGGGTAAATACAGCCAACATTTAAAATTTTTTTCTAATATTCAGTGTTTAATACTAGTGTAAGGTCTGTGGAAGCATTTGTAACATGTGGAATTTTAATATAAAAAGACTGGCTTTGTCTTTGACTCACTTGCTCGAGCAAGTTGTTAATCCATATAAATGAAATACAATGACTTACCTTTACAATAAAACCTACTGTAATAAAAAATAAATGAAGGAATAAATCTATTTTCTAATTTCTAGGGTCGAAACAGAACACTTGACTAAAAAAGTATTTGTATAATTTTTTTTTTAGAAAACACAGATGACTTTAACATTTTAATTCATTTATACAATTCAATTATTCAAGTCTGACATTTTTATCTGCCTAGCTTATTGTCAATAGTCACAATGATATTTTAAAAATGATATTTGTCTCATCAGATTTTCTTAGCATACTTATGTGCTTCCCAGAAATGAATACAAATTAGACAATCTGATTTAACACTGATTTACTGACTTAATACTAACAAATACTGATTTAAAAGGCAAAATCATTTAAATGAATATATCTTTTCAAACAGTTTTAACAATAATCTCAAATACAGATACAAATATTCGAATAGAGAAAAAATGCCCTTAAATATTAAGAACAGTGTTTACTCACTGGTCAGAAAAAAATGCTTATGACACAATCTAATACGATTCATTGGTAATTTATTTTTTTAATATAGATAAGAGTTAACATAAAACCCTTTGTATAGTAATTGATGCTAATAAAAAATTGTAAAAAAGAACACAAAATTCTGAGATAGACCTTCTACTTTTCATAACCTCTGAACTTTTTCTGTGACGGGTGTTCAAGTGAATGTCTCCTCTGTAGTTCAGTTTTATAAGAATAATGCACAGAAGGATCTATTTCACTGTTGACTTTAAAATACTAGTCCCAAATACATCAGTCATGTCACAAAGAATACATTGTTACTACTTTTTTTTTAATTGAACAGTTTACTGTTCAATGAAAGTGGTAGTTGTTTCAAATTAAAAAAAAATACCCTGTAGAATGTGAGAACAGGATCCAGATTTTAAGTCACAAAGTTGTACTTTCGGTCCTCTAGTACCAACTGTAAAGACAAAAAAAAAATGATTTTAACACAATTTTGTTATACATCATCCTCAAAATGAAACAACATACTAGCATTAGAAATTATATTTCCACTGCATCCACATAGAAATAAAATGATAAAATTTTGTAAAGGCGATGTAGAGGGGTTACAATTATAAACAGCAGGTACTGAGTACATGTATCACCCCCCCTCCTTCATTTTCTCTCCCATTTTTTCCTTCCCTCTGCCCAAATTGTATAGTTTATTTTCAACGTAGTATCTAATGAGTATCACTGCTAAATGAGTTTACCCTTTGTCCTACCATTTCTGTGCTTCCCCTACATCAAATCAGATAAACTTACATACAAGACAAAGGTACAGAAATAAAAAATGATAGCAAAAAGGTAAAAACAAAACAAAATCACACAAAGTAAAACAAAAAAACCTCGTTTCCTTCTCTTGGAGTTCATTTTGGTCAGCATCATTTTATATCATCATACGCACATGGCTATTGAGCCCTGGTGATCCTCTCCTAAGAATATCCTCCTTTGGTAATGCACAACGCCTCTCTGTACTACTTTTGCAAATTCTTGCAAATCTATAATTATTTTAAAATACTACTTTCTGCTAAAGTACTGCATATAAATACAGTTGGAAGTATTTTCCTAGTTTAAATATTATAGATCTGAAATATATTTGGCATTTGATGCCAAATATATTCTTTAAAAAATACCAAATAAATTCTTTGTTGGTACTGAGAATCAAAATCCATGGTGTTGTAGTTGCTAAGCAAGCACATCCCAGTTCTACATATGAATATTTTTTGTAGGATTTGATGTAAATGGTTGTTAAATATCAACATATATTTAATTTTAATATATATCTAATTTTAAATTACATTTGGTATAAAATACTAAATATATTTCAGATCTTTAATATTTAAACTAAGAAAATGTTTTCAACTGTATTTATATGTAGTACTTTAGTAGAAAGTAGGGTATTATATTTTATTTTAAAAGTATAGTTTTGAAAGACATTGCAAAGGTAGCAAGTACAGAGAGAAAAGTGTACCAGTCTCATGAGATATCCCAATAATCGTAGTGGGTAACTAATGTGTACTATCAAAACAAGGAAATTTATATTGCAAATTTAAATGTATATTTAGTTAGTTATTTTTTCACATTAAGTCACTATTTTTAACAGTAATACAGGCAATAATACACTTTCAATTGCTAATGATAGTCATGGAAAATGGGGACATATACTGAATGAATGGATCTCCATGATGAGTTAGAGCTCAGTTCTTCTTTATAGAAGAAGCAGCGAATGATATCCAGGCATGAGGAGACTCCTATAGTGCTACAGAAATCATGGAGGACATAGTATCTAATATTAGAAAACTTATTTCCCTACATATGAAATTTCTTTTTTTAATTTTTACCTTTTCTTTTTTGTTGCTGAGGATAAAACCCATGGTTTTGTAGTTGCTAAGCAATCACTTTATTTTTGAACTATATCCTAGTTCTACATATCAATTTTTTTTGTTGTAGGATTTTACATAAATGGCTGTTAAATTTTAATCATAATCCTAAAGACAAAAGAGTAATTTCTTAACTGTAACTCCTCTGTACATTACCTTTACAAGAAAAAATTTAAAAATAAAAAAGAAGTAATTTCTTTTTTCATTTTGTTTTACTGGAATAGTTGCCAAATTTTGTTCATGTACAATGCTTGGAACTTTGGTGGTTTAAAACTCCTAAGGGACCAAAAATAACTCTTAAAGAAAGAAAAAAAATCTTTGAATTCTAGCCCTAAGCTAGTTCTGTTGAGCTGAATATAAATAGAAGCATATATATATATATACATATATACACACACATATATATGTGTATATATGTATATATATATATATAATTTTTTTTTTTTGGTCAGTCGTGAGGTTTGAACTCTATCTGGACACCACTATTCCTATGCTCTTCAGATCAAGGCTAGCTCTCTACCACTCGAGTCACAGTGCAACTTCTGGTTTTCTGGTGGTTAATTGGAGATAAGAGGCTCACAGATTTTCCTGCACCGATGGCTTTGAACAATGATCCTCAGATCTCAGCATCCTGAGTAGCTGGGATTACAGCCATGAGCCACTGGTGCCTGGCTGGAGCATATAATTTTTAAAGTAAGGGAATCGTGATCTTTATTTCGGTTAAAACATATTAAAGGTAACTAGATAGAAAATAAAGATAAAATTTTCCATATGTTGAAAGACAAAAAACACCTTATATACATACCTGCTACTAAACAGTGCTTGGTGGCAATTGGAGACATATGATGACTATAAACAGTTTCTTCAAATGTAAACACATCTGCAGTCTGGTAATTAAGACAGGTTAAAAGTTTTAATAATAAAACCAAAGCAACAATCTATCTTTTGTCCCACTTATTGCAATTTTTTTCTTTATTGAGATTAAGTAATTACATAAGTTTCACAAATTTCACAGTATTGTGAGATAGTGATACTTAGCTATAGTCACAAACACATTTTAACCTTCACAAGGTGCACTGTCATTATTATGGTCTATAAAGCTTATGAACTCTACAAACGTTGACACTACAATTACTTTGTCCAAATTGGGTGATATATACATTTCTTTCCTTCTTTCTCTCTTATTCCCTCCTTCCCATCACTGCCCTTGAGTTGCTTAGTTCACTTTCATCAATGGCCAGTGCAGCTGATGGGCCCCTCTTTGTATTTTTCTTTTTTTTTTTTTTTTTTTTTTTTTTTTTTTTTAAATTTAATTTAGCATCAAAATTTCTTTTAGAGGAACGACCCCAGATTACCTTCTAGCTCTTTCTCATCTACAAATGAAGACTCTGGGCCATTTGATTGTAAAGTATTTTTTAACCCTAGAGTTTTGTGCCATATAAGTGGAAGAAACATGAAAAAGCACAACCTATTATTTTAAGCCCTGAGATCAAAACCTCAGGACTACCAAGAAAAAACTAAAAAGCATGTGAGTTGGAAGGGGTGGCTTATCCAATAAAGGGTACTATAAGAGAGAGTCAACCAAAATGGAAATAAACCACATATATGGAGCTCTTAAGAAAGAGTTTGGTGTGGGAGAGGCATTTTTCTTTGGCTCATTAAGACTCCAAAGTTTTGCTCTTAGTACCTGACAGCGTAAATTCCCAAGTGACCTTCAGGTGGAAACTAATTCAAGAGAAGGATTAAGGTAGACCACTCTCAAAATTGCTTGCTTAATATTAGCAACTAAGATGTGTGTTTCCAAATTCCTTTCCTATCTAATGAATCATATCCTAAATTTTAACAACATATTAGTATCACAGTTCTGATTCACAGAAGTCAGGTATGGAGATTTGCTGTCCCTAAGTTCAGCTTTTGTTCTTGTGTACTTGCTGTGGTTTAAACGTTAGTTTGAGAATCCTCCAAAGATCTATGACTGAAAATTTGATCTGTAGAGTAGTGCTAATGGGAAGGTGGGACCTTTAATAGGTGAGCCTACTAGGAAGTCCTTTGGTCCTTGGGGTTGTGACAGTTGAAGGAATTGTGGAACACTGCTCATCTGTACTCTCCTCCTTTGTTATCTGGCTGGAGATAGGAGCACTGGCTCCTACATGGATTGAACGAAGCCATGCTGTCATCCATTTCCCTTACCTGAATTGAGCTCATATGGGGCTGTGCCTTTGCACTGCCAAAAGTCTGAGCCAAATAAGTCTTTTCTCTTTATAAGTTAGTTGCCTAAGGTGATTTTAGTAATGTTATTGCCTGGATTTGAGAATCTCAGAAACCCTAACAGCTAGCTAGGATGTCCCTTACTCTTAGAAATCCTGGCTTTTTGGCTTCAGTAGTCAGTCCTTATACATTTTTTCATGTTTCTGCCTCTCAGGGCCTAGAATTATATTTCTTCCAAAGCTAGGCCTTATTTTCAATCACTTTCAACTTCAGTGTTCTTTGTAATTCTCAGTTTTTGCTTATCTTACAGTAAGATTTTTTTTGAGAACTCAGTAAAGATGTTATTATAATTTGTATGTGAAAACACAAGCATCAGTCCTATAGCTCACAGGAGCCAAGTGATCTTCAGAAATACCATGGCAACACCCAATCTGCTAAGTGAACTACACCACTATCTCTCTTTTGCTGTAGTCACTCCCTGCTGATTCAGGGGGTTGGTAAATACCATCTCCAAGAGAGCCAGGTTGCATCCATGAAAAACCTTCTTCCATCTTCAAGACCTTTGGGGAGATCCCTAGCTTTTACTCGAGGGTGGAACCTATGCTTTTTTTCCTCAATCTTTCTTGTCCCTGAAATAATAATAGTCTACTTTTATTTATTTCTCATAGATACTTATTCATACTTACTTATGTTGCTGATTGCTTTGTGGAAGGTTCTCTTGACCCTTTTCTCTAAGGCAATAAACTTTAACCTTGCTTAGCTAAAAAGTTAGGCTTTAAAGCAAACATGATTGTGAAGAATGAGAGAGTAAAAAATAAAGGTGGCTATGTAATGAGAATGCAAAGTGTTAGGTTTTTAAAAAGAGGTGGCCTAGTAAGAACAGCACCAGCACGCACGTGGCATTCAGGTAAGGGGTAGGTTTATTCAGTAGACCTGCTGGGACCAGGCAAGGTTGGCACTCCACGTGGCTGGGAAAGGCCTGGGAAGGAGAGAGCTGGGAAAGAGAGGAAAGAGCTAGAAAAGAGCAGAGAGAGGGGTAAGAACAGTAGCACTCACGTGGTATTCGGGTAAGGGGTAGGTTTATCCAGTAGACCTGCTGGGACCAGGCAAGGTTGGCACTCCACGTGGCTGGGAAAGAGAGAGGAAAGAGCTAGAGCAGAGAGAGAGCTAGAAAAGAAGAGCAAGAGCTAGAAAAGAACAGAGCGAGAAAAAGAGAGCCTCTTTGTATTTTTCACCTGTTTCCTTCTGATTCTGTAACCTCTTCCTAGCTTCCCTCAGATGTGCACATGTATATAACATATGTGAGGTCAAGAACATGGAATCATCTAAAAATGATGAATTTTTGCAATTATTAAATTGACAGCTAGCAGTTTATTTAGCTAACTTAATACAAATTTGAAAAATTAAGAAAGAAAAAAAACCCGATCTTGCTCATCATCTTCCCTTCCATTCTACTCTGGAAGACTGTAGCATCCAGATGGATGATCTAGCCAACAAGCTGCCTTTCAGTTCCCTGTAACTTCAATAACCACAGTCATGACTAGAATGGTTCTTCCTTTCAAATTATGTATTTCAGTTATCTATGACCACAATAGCTACTATTTTGGCTTTCCCTAACTACTCACCCTTAAGGTATCTTAACCCCTCCCTACCCCAATCCCTATCAACTCTTCTTCTTCTTCTTCTTTTTTTTTTTTTTTTGGCCAGTCCAGGGCATTGAACTCAGGTCCAGGGCACTGACCCTGAGCTTCTTTTGCTCAAGGCTAGCATTCTACCACTTGAGCCACAGTGCTACCGGCTTTTTCTGTTACGTGTAATTGAACCCCGGGCTTCATGCATGTTTGGCAAGCACTTTACCACTAAGCCACATTCCCAGCCCTCCTTTTCACTTCTTTTCCTCTCCAGCTTGCATTCTAAAGTCTAACATACCAAATGTTAGTCATCTCAATTTCTTTGTGGTTTCCTTTTCAGTTTTTCAAGGATTGGCAAACTTTTTCAGCAAAGTCACATAGTAAACATTTTAGAATTTGAGAATCGGATACACTTCATTGCCATAGCAATGCCAAAGTAGTCATAAATAGCTAAAAAGCATGCGTATATTAAAAAAATTTATTTACAAAATAATGCTGTGAGTCAGACAAATCTAGACTAAAAGCCTAGATCTGGCCAGTTTTGGCCAAAATCTTTCCAGTTGACAAACTGGTGTCAGTGGAAAACATCATTGAAATTGGACTTTCAATAACAATCATCAGTCCCACTAACAGTATTTTACCCAACTACTTCCCTGCAATATTCTCCAACTATTTCAAACTTTCTTATGCCTCACAAACATCTCAATAAGCAATTAGATCTTTTAGTTAATCAGAATTTCAAAGTGTTATAAAAAAAATCTACAAACATAATTTCCTTTTTCCTTCTTTACTCCTACTATCAAGGAAAAATGATGGACAAAGTTAATCTGGGGGCTGGGAAGGTGGCTCAGTGGTAGAGCGCTTGCCTTGCATGCATGAGGCCCTGGGTTCAATTCCTCAGCACCACATAAGCAAAAAGAAAAAAGCCGGAAGTGGCACTATGGCTCAAGTGGTAGAGTGCTAGCCTTGAGTTGAAGAGCTGAGGGACAGTGCCCAGGCCCAGAGTTCAGGCCCCACGACCAGACCCCTCCACCCACCCCTCCCCCCCACCAAAAAAAAGTTAATCTGGCCTCTAGTGCCCTGATCCCTCTTAGCAGCAACAAAAGTTTCAGTTAACAAATTATCTCCTGGGTATCAGGAGATAAATATGGGCAGCACTCTACACTCAGTCTCTATTGTGAAATAAACCTTTCATCCAATAGTACCCTTAATCTTTTTTCCCATTCTCACTACCTTTAATTCCTTATTTTTCTCAAATCATTGCAATCTGATTTTTATTTTCACTATTCTTAGTCATTACTTTTCTAGTATCACTGGTAACCTTTATCTTATCCTACCTATTCATTTGACTACCTCATCTATTTTTTTTTTGTTGGTCGTGGGGCCTGAACTCTGGGCCTGGGTGCTGTCCCTCAGCTCTTCAGCTCAAGGCTAGTGCTCTACCACTTGAGCTACAGCGCCACTTCCGGCTTTTTTCTTTTTGCTTATGTGGTGCTGAGGACTCAAACCCAGGGCCTCATGCATGCAAGACAAGCACTCTACCACTGAGCCACCTTCCCAGCCCATCTCCTCATTTTTAAGGCATCTCCTTCACTGGTTTCATACGCTATATGGCCCCGATTTTCCTCTTTCTCTATGGCTACTCTTTCTCATTGTCTTTTGTACTTTCTTTCTCTGTCCTATGAACTTTGGTCTTCCTTATGGTTTTACTCTATGGAGACTTTGATTGCCACCTGCATGGTAGTGATGAATCTGAGTTTTTAATGTAGACTTCTTTTCTTGATTCCAGATATTTATAGTTCAATTCCAGGATAATTCCTAGACTATTTCCCATTAGATTTCTTATAATCTATTAAACAACAAATTGAACCCATAATCTTCCCTTTTTTTATTTTTGTAGATAACAATATAATGGACACAGTTCCCAAGTTAAACAACCTGAAGGTCATTTTTGATTTTTTTTTAAATACTAGGATATAAATAACATACAATATAGTACATCTACTGAAAATTGCACGAGTACTTCAATGGGTTTTAGTATATTAATGAGGTTATAAATATCAGTTATAAATTTTAGAACATTTTCATCATTCCAAAGGATTCTCTTTATCAATCATCAGTCACTCCTCAAGTCTTTCTATCCCTGCTCTAGGCAACATGTAAATTGACTTTTTTGTCCTTATAAATTTATTTTTAATGCATTTTTATTGTAAAAATACTGTACTGAGGGGTTACAGTTACATGAGCAAGGTAATGAGTACATTTCCTATCAAGCATTGTTACCTCCTCCTTTGTTTTTCCCCTACCATCCCTTCCCTCCTACCTCCACAACTACCCCTGCCCCCCACCTAAATTGTAACTTTTTTGTTTCTTTGTATGTTCCTCCTCCATGGTATAACCCCTGTTTTCACTGTATTTGATGCTGGTGCCCTACATCTTGTATATACACTTCTCTATTTTGGGGAGGGGAAGGGAAAAAACAAAATGCTTAAATAGGGATACAGGCTGACCTATTGTAACAATGAGATTTTGCCCAAGACACTATGTTGAAAAATGAACTTTACAATAAATTTATTTTTTAAACATTTTATGTAGATGAAATTATGTAATATGTGGCTTTTGTAGTCTTCATTTAGGATAGTTTCAAGGTTTTTCCATATTGATACATGTGTTATTATCTTGTTTGCTGAATTGTATTCTATTCTAAATATACCACATTTTGTTGAACTATTCAGTGGATGGCTATTGTAGTTGCTTCTATTATGAACAATATACCTTTGTAAACAACTTTTTGTGTGGCCACATAGTTCCATTTCCTCATAAGTAAAGCTGCTTGAGCATATGCTAGCTCTACATTTAATACAGTGAGGAAACATTTTCCCAAACAGTTATACCATGTTACTTGTCCACTAGCAATATATAAGGTTCCAATCTAAATCCATCCTCACTAATAGCTATTGTTATCTTTTGGATTAAAAACATATTAGTATCATCTTTTTGATTCACATTTCTGATGTCTATTCTTAATTTTTCACTCTTGTTAACAGCTAATTAATTTCCAGCTCCTGTTAATAAATAACCTCTCATAAATAACCACTCCCATCTGTTTATTTCACATAAGGATGTGACCTACTCTTCCTTGCCTAGATGAAAATAAAGGCTTTATTAAAAACAGTCTACAATAATAAATGATATGCTATTTTCTAATATAACGAGGCTAAAAAATCTCTGGTTTGTTAGAATACTGTACTTACACTATACTAATTAATTCAGATAAGAATGATATCTATAGTTCATTTTGTTAATATATATTAATATCTGGTTAGCTGTTTAGATTATTACTTATCCTTAACATATTTATAGCTGTACACAGCAGTTATACCTGACATTTGATTTAGCGGTATACAAAACACAGCCCATTTCTTGGGGAGAAAATAACAAGCTTGATAACACAGATAGGCATGAAAATGATAGCAAAATAATCTGCTCAAATGAGAAGACAGAAAAACAATGCCATAAAGTTAAAATACAAAGTTGATTAATATGGACTCCAGAAGCTGAAGTCACCTATTACATGATAGAATTGGAGGGAATTCAGCATCAGTTAGTCTGAAACTTTAATTTTATAGCTACAGATACCTTTGCTATTAAATGATCTTACTAAAAGCAATATATCTAGTAAGTAACAAAATGTGACTAGAACTGTGATATCTAAATTTTTGTCCAATGTAATTGCAAAAAGAGATGTGAACTTAACAGAATGGAAAAAGTTGAATAGAGAAAGGGACCAGCGGTGTGTAATATATGATCAAATTACAGTTAGTAGGCAAAGGATACCAATGTAGCTATAGCAAATTGTGTTGAAAAGGGTAGAAGTTCCAGTTGAAGGAACTAAGGGAAAGTTATACAGAATTTTGAGTTCCAGGCTGAGTGTAGACAATGGGAACCACAAGAGGCTTTGAGTAGAGATATGATGGAACTGATTTATATAGTAAGATTAGTACTGGGGCAGAACTCACAGCAGAAAATGTAAAAAACTGGAAGAAAAAGAAGTCAGAATTTTTAGTGGTCAAGACTTGCCAAGACTTGAGGAGGAATTATGTTCAGGTTGGAACATATTAAATTTGAAGGGATAGCCCTATATTTATGGACAGAGATTGTATGGATAGGTAGAGACAGAATTCACTACATACTCAAATTTGACCAATTAACCACTATCTATCTTTATTACGTTATGATATAAATAACTTGCCTTTCCTTTAAGTTTTTAGATCAACAGAGGATAAAACCAACTTTCTTTTGATAACAGCTATCAAATGTGTATGTCCTGTAACCTAGGCATTATGCTAATTTATTCATTTAAGCAAAACTGTTCTACAAAATATGATCATTACCCTCACAGATAATAAAAGGGAAACCCAGATGTCTGGGTATTTGTTCAGTGTCATACACCTAGTCACCAGACCTAGGTTATAAATCCAAGCAGTCTGATTCTCTACAACCAATAGTCTTCTTTTATTTCTAGCAAGTAGGATACTTTAGCAAATCATAATATTAAAATAGTTTAGGATTCAATTCTTTTTCATCCTACAGAACAATTTTGGAAAGAATATAATATACTCACTTGTAGTGTATTTGTATCCCATACTTTCAGAGTTTTATCAAATGAGCTTGAAGTGAACATGCCCGTGTCATGAGGATACCACTGAACAGTCTCCACACTGTATTTGTGGACATCAGGATGGTTTCTACAAAACAGCAACCAAAATTTGGAGATAACTGGCTTAAGTTTCAAAATAGAGGTATATTAAGAACAAGCAGCAGTTTCAAGTAGGATAGGTCCCATGTTTTCCCTATAACTAGTATATATCTGAGACAAGCAGAAAAGGTCAGATAAGATGATGTTAAGTGAAATGAACCCCAAGATAAGGACACAAATGGTGTTTTCTTTCTTGCTATTGCTTCTAATGTATTTATAAGGTACCACATGATTTGTTTTTGTTGCTTTGTATGTCCCTCCCCCATGGTATAAACCCTGTTTTCACTGTATTTGATGTCGGTATAATTTGGGGAGGGAAGGGAAAAAACAAGTTGTTTAAATAGGGATACAGGTGGACCCATTGCAACAATGAGATGTACAAGATGCAATGTTGAAAAACGAACTTTACAATTTAGGCTGGGGGGCGGGCAGGATGTAGTTGTGGAGATGGGAGGGAAGGGATGGTAGGGGAAAAACAGAGGAGGTGGTAACAATGCTTGATAAGAAATGTACTCATTACCTTGCTCATGTGATTGTAACCCCTCTGTACAGTATTTTCACAATAAAAAATTTAATTTAAAAAAAAAGAGAAGAATGAAGTGGGGAAAAAAATGAAATGGTTTTACAAAACCCAGTTAAGAAAGTAAGCCACTAATTTGAGTCATGTCACAAATAAAATAAATGGAAATATAAAGAACACCTTGTTACCTTATCAGTAACATGGGGAGTTCATATTTAATCAATTAAGTTACTAAGTATGGATTTCATACTGTAACTATGGTAAAAGCAATGGTTGAGGAATATGGCAGAGTTTCTGTATTCTAAGATTTCCTAAATGTAACAATATAATCCAAATACTTCTGTAAAAAGGATTAAAATTGCCTATCTCAGACCAGGTAGTGTGTGTGTGTGTGTGTGTCTGTGTGTGTGTGTGTGTGTGTGTGTATTTACTGTGTGTGTGTGTGTGTGTGTGTGTGTGTATTTACACACATATCTATATATATCTATATAGATATATACACTATATATATATACTAGCTCAGGCAGGAAAAGTCCGCGAGACTCTTATTTCCAATAAACTTCCAGAAAACCAGAAGTGGCACTGTGGCTCAAGAGGTAGTGAGCTCTCCTTGAGCTAAAGAGCTGAGGGACAGGGCCCAGGCCCAGAGTTCAAGCCCCATGACCGACCAAAAAAGAAAAAAAAAAAAGGAACTGACTTCAATATGCTTCCAACAGTCTTGACTTCCACAGTTTTGCAGTGATATTATTTTCTAAATACATCTTTAATGCAGTGACTTTCAAGTTCATCTATATTTCAAATTTTAAAATAGGACAAACTATTGTAGCATTTTCTTACCATATGCATGATCTGTTATTATCAGTCACATTAATAAGGACTTTGGAGAGAAAAGAAACCTCTCAATGCCTAAGAATAAATTAAGTATACCAACAATAAATATCAGAAAGCTAAACCATGTTTACCTTACTGTTTTACTGGAATTATTTTTTAAATTGGATTGCAAATACTTTCGTGAAAATGCTGCTTTAATTCATATTGTAAATATGCCAACTATATACCCATTTTCAAAATTTAAAATCCATACTTTTAAAGAATTTAAACACAAGAACAGAGTTATAGTAAAACAAATAGCAACATTCTAAGCTTTTACTTATATATAAAAAAATAGATTGCAGACCCTCCTCTTGAAAGCAATTTCTTAACAATCCTCTGTCAATGCAAAGGTCCATACGACTAGCTGATTATATGTAAGTGGTAAGAAAGAAACGACCATTATGAAAACACTACCACAAAGTCACAAAACAGTTTATGAGAAAAACAATAAAATAATTTAATCTTAAAAATAATTCTCCTGGGCTAGGAATGTGGTTTAGTGGTAGAATGCTTGCCTAGCATGCCTGAAGCCCTGGGTTAGATTACTCAGTACCATGTAAGCAAAAAAAGCCAGAAATGGCACTGTGGCTCAGTGGTAGAGTACTAGCATTGAGCAAAAGAAGCTCAGGGACAGTGCTCAGGCCTGAGTTCAAGGCCTAAGACTGGCAAAAGAAAAAGGGCTGGGAAGGTGGCTCAGTGGTAGAGTTCTTACCTTGCATGTATGAGGCCCTGAGTTCAAGTCTTCAGCAGCACATAAGCAGAAAAAGCTGGAAGTGGTGCTATGGCTCAAGTGGTAAAGTACTAGCCTTGGGCTGAAGAGCTGAGGGGCAGTGCCCAGACTCAGAGTTCAAGCTCCATGACCTCCAAAAAAAAAGGGGGGAAAAAAAAAAGAAAAAAATTCTCCTAAGACTAATTAGCTAGGAAAGAATAGCAAGAGAAATTGACATATATTCATAAGTTCAGCATCTTTAAGAAGAGACAAGAGGGTATGTGTGTGTGTGTGAGGGCTTGTCCACGCGTGCACACGCTTGTGTGCGTGCCTGCGCGCACGTGTGTGTGTGTGTGTGTGTGTGTATTTGGTGAAAGGACTGCTTTCACATTTAATATATTTAGCTCTTAATCTTTTCCCCAATGATACCTGATGAAAATCTAATTTGTCTTTATGATTAGCTGAAAGACTCATAAATGAATCTTATACTTAGTAATATTAAAAGTAGTAGTTACTGACATATGTTCTGTAGATAAACAATTGTTTGTAAAGATAAAACATAATTATATATCTTTTAAATAAATTCTTTCAAGACAGAATGCCATTTATAAGATTATTTCTTTGTTGCGTTGTATGTCCCTCCCCCACAGTGTAACCCCCGCTTTCACTATATTTGATGTCAGTATAACTTGTGCAGGAGATGGGGAAAAACAAGTCGTTTAAAGATTCAGGTGGACCTGTCGCAACAATGAGAAGTACAAAATGTCATGTCAAAAACGAGCTTTACAATGTCGGTGTGGGGGGAGGGAGGGGGAGAAGGATTGGGTGGGGGGGAAGGGGGAGACTGGGAAGGGAGGTGAAGGGTAAACAAAGGAGGAGGCTGCAATGCTTGGTAAGAAATGAACGCATTATCCTGCCCATGTAATTGTAACCCCTCTGTACAGTATGCTCTCAAATAAAACAAAATAAAATTTAAAAAAAAAAAAAAAAAAAGAATGCCAGTGGCTCATGTCCTAGTTACTCAGGAGGCTGAGATCTAAGAGTACCTATTTGAAGCCAGCACAGGCAGAAAAGTCCAAGGCTCACATCTCCAATTAACCACCAAAAAAGTTGGACGTGGAGCTGTGGCTCAAGTGATAGGGCACTAGTCTTGAGCAGAATGGCTCAGAGACAGTACCCAGCCCCTGAATTCAAGCCCCAGGACCAGCGCGAGCGTGTGCGCGCGCGCATACACGCGCACACACGCGCACACACACACACACACACACACACACACACACACACACACACACACACAAAATCACAAAGGCATGGGCAAAACATATTAAAAGCACCCACCATTTTGACTCCATGACTGAGAAAAATCAGGTAAGAAAATAAAATTGTTTAGAGAAAGAGAAGACAAAGAGCTACAAAAGAGGAAGACTGTAGAATAACATGGAAAAACAGAGGCAACAGAGAAAAGATTCAATCACAAGGCAACCAGACACAGACTGACAATTCTAGCTGCTGCATATGCCTACATCATTTCCAAGCAGTTCAGGGATTTAGTGAGACAGAAACTACTTACTGCACTGTGGGAGGCTAGCTACTGGGAATGCAGGCATACTAGTGCTCCCCTTGTCCAAAGAAAGCCATCTTAAGTGAGGGCCTATTGTTTGAGACTGAACTACTCTGAGGACTTGAAAACAAGAAACAAAATGCATAGGAGATCTTAGGCCATCCTGTGAGTGTCTGGATGAGAGCTGGTCTCTCATATGGTACCATCCTGTAAAGGTGAAGCACCTGGGAAATACAGAGGAAACAAAGTGACAGACCTGTTACTGACATTGTATTTGGCCTTCCTGGCTAAGAAGACTTGAATTAATTAGGGATAATTAATCACAATAAATACCAAAATTCAGAAGAGCATTTGAGAATTCTTTGAAAACTTTTATTTTAATAAACTGAAAAAATACAGGAAGAATTAATTTCTAGATTTTTATAATCTACCAATAGGATACAATCTGCTTACAAAAATCTTTAACACACATAGACTGAAGCAGTTATAGACACCCAACAAAAAATGTCCAAGGTGAAACATTCATTGATGATCTATACCAGACTTTTAATGCTTCTGAAACTATTTCACAAGATAGAAAAGGAAGAAATGTTAACAAACTCATTGTATGAAGCCAGTATTACCTTACACCAAAACCAGATAAGGCTATAATCAAATAATAACAACAGATGCTAGAGGGGATGTGGCCAAAAGGGAACCCTATTGCATTGTTGGCAGGAGTGTAAACTTGTTTAACCACTTTGGAAAACAGTATGGAACTTCCTTAGAAGATTACACATAGAGTTCCCCTATGATCCAGCAATCCCACTTTTGGACATTTACCCAAATGAGTACAAATAAGGCCACATACTAAAGCTACCAGCACAACTATGTTTATTGCAGCCTTATTCACTATAGCTAAGATATGGAACCAATACAAATGCCTTTCAATAGATGAATGGATCAAGAAAATGTGATGTACACACACACACACACACACACACACAATGGAATTCTATGCCTCCATCAGAAAGAATGACAGTGCCCCATTTGTTAGGAAATGAAAGACTTGGAAAAAATTATATTAAGCCAGGTCCAAAGAAACATAGATCCCATGGTTTCCCTTATTTGAAGTAACTAGTATGTGTCTAGGACAAGCAGAAAAGGTCAAAAGCTATGTATATATGACCATATAAGATGATGCTAAGTGAACTGAACCCCAAGATAGGGATACAAGAGGTTTTATCTTTGTTGCTGTTGTTTTTTAATGTATTTATAATATACTATGTGATTTTTCTTTTGTTTCCTTTTTATGTTTTTTCTCCATGGTATAACCCATTTTCACTGTATTTGATGTTGGTGCCTTGTATCTTATATATACATTTTTTCTAATTTGGGGAGGGGAAGGGAAATAACAAAATGCTGAAATAAGGATACAGGTCAACCCAGTGTAACAATAAGAAGATGAACAAGACACTATGTTGAAAATGAACTTTACAACTTGGGGGTGGGGGGTGGGGAAGGAGGAGTTTGGGAGGGAGGAGGGAAGGGATGGTAGGGGAAAAACAATGGGGGGATAACAATTCTCAATAGGAAATGTACTCATTACCTTATTCATGTAACTGTAACCTCTCTGTACAGTACCTTTACAATAAAAAATATATATTAAGAAAAAGTATAGTCCAATTTCCTTGATAACATTCATAAAAAATTCTCAATAAAATCCTTGAAAACCAAATTCCACAACACATTAAAATGATCATACTTTTTTATTTTTAATTGTGAAAATACCATACAGAGGGGTTACAATTACATGGGCGAGATAGTGAGTACATTTCTTATCAAGCATTGTTGCCTTTTCCCATCCCTTCCCTTCTCCACCCCCACCCCCTCCCCCCTTCACTCCCCCCCCACCAAAGTTGTAATAAGATGATCATATTCTATGATCAAGTTAGTTTCCACCCCAAGGATTAAAAAAATTACTCAATATATACAACTCAATAAATGTAATACAGTACATAAATAAAATAATGGTGATTATCTCGGTAAATGCAGGATAAGCCTTTGACAAAATCTAACATCTATTCATGATAAATACTCTGAATTAGTTAGGCAAAGGAACATAATCAATATAATAAAGGCTACAATGAACCTAAAGCCACTATCATATTAAATATGGAAAAACAAACTATTTTCTCTAAAGTGAGAATGTCATGCTTACTCACTCTCTGAAGTCAATCTCCCTTCTTTCTTTCTATTTGTGTGTGTGTGTGTGGTACTGGAGTTTGGATTCAAGATTTTCTTATTGTTAGAAAGGGGCTATACCAGTTTAGCCATGCTCTCAAATCCTTTTTACTCTGGTTGGGATAGGGTCTTGCTTTTTATCTGTGCCAGCCTGGACCATGATTATCCTATGTACACTTTCTGCTGGTATAGATAGGTGGTATCACAGAGTATGCTTTTTTGCTTGAGATAGGGTCTTGTGAACCTTTTGCCCATCTGACACCAGTACCTGGGATCTACTCATACTCAATATAAAAATACATGAATTATTAGCTAAAGCAATAAGGTAAAATAAAGAACTATAGGGGTAAACAAGAAAAGGCCATCAAAAAATTCTTTAGATCTGATTTAAAAAACAAACAAGCAACTTTTGACAAAATAGGAGGACACAAAGTCAAAATATAAAAATCAATAGCTTTGTTGGGCACTATTAGCTCACACTTATAATCCTAGCTTCTCCGGAGGAAGAGATCTGAGGATCACAATTCAAAGCTAGCAGGGGCAGAAAAGTCTGCAAGAGTCTTGTCTCCAATTAACCACAATAAAGCCAGAAGTAGAGCTATGGCTCAAATGGTAGAGTGTTAGTCTTAAGCAAAAAGGCTCAGGGACAGTGTTCAAACCCTGAGTTCAAGCCCCAGGACTGGCACAAAACAAAAATACAACAGTAGCTTTTCTGTACAACACCAATGATGAGGCTAAGAAAAAAAAAATCAGGAAAACAATATCCCATTCATAACAGCCTAAAAAAATTAAGTACATAGGAATAAACCTAACAAAGATGGTGGAATACTTCTACACTGAATACCATGAAGCTTTGATGAAAAAAATTCAAGACATTTGAAGGTGGAAAGACCTTTCATGCTGTGGGCCAGTAGAATTAATGTTGTGAAAACAGTTACACTATTGACAGCAATCTATAGGTTCAATGCAATTTCCATAAAAATTCTATCACTTTTCACAGAAAAAGAAAAATTAATCCTTATAAATTCATATGGAAGCACAAAAGACCCAAACAGCCAAGGCAGTTCTGATTATAAAATATAATACAAAGCCATAGTAACAAAAATGGAATGGTACTGGCACAAAAAGAGACACATAGACCAACAGAAAAGAAGTTCTACAATAAGTCTACACAGATCTAGACACTGAATTTCAACATAAATACCAGAAACGTGTTGGAGAAAGATAGTCTCTTCAACAAATAGTGTTGGAAAAACTATCTACAGGAAAAAGACTGAAACTATCACGGCTGTCTCTCACCATGTTGCAAAATGGATTCAAAGTCGATCTAAATGTTAAACTTGAAACTTTGAAACTATTATAGGAAAACATAGGAAAAATCCTTAAAGATATGCACACAGATAACAGCCTTCTGAATGAGACTCCAAGTGCTCAGGAAATAATAAGAATTTACAAATAGGATCGTATCAAATTAAAAGCTTTTACCTAACCAGGGAAACTGGAGCAAGTCTTTGCCATCTTTTCGTCAGATAATGGACTAATATCTAAAATATATAAAAGCTTAAAAATTAAGTTCCAAAAGATACAATAAATAAAATAAATGGGCAATGAATTGAGCAGACAATGTTGAAAGAAGTTCAAATGGTAAATAAATACGCAAAATTATGTTCACTATCCTTAATGAAAAAGGAAAAAAGGAAATGCAAATCAAAATTACACTGAGATTCCATCTCATCTCAAGTCTGAATGACCAACATCAGGAAACAAATGACAAATTCTGATGAGGATGTGGGAGGAAAACAGAACTCTATGTACTGTTGATGGGAATGCAAATTAGGACAGCCACAATGAAAATCTGTATGGCGTATCCTCAAGAAAGGAAACACTGAATTATCATATGATCCTGCTACACCATTCCTGGGCATAAGTAAGTCAACATAAAACAGAAACACCTGCATGCCCATATCTATCACAGTACTATTTATAACAGTAACACTAGGGAATCAGTCTAGGTGTCTATCACTGAATGAAAGGACACAGATGTAGTATATACACACAATAGGGTATTTATTACTCAGCCATAAAGAATGGTATTATGTTGTTCATGGGAAAATGGATGGAATTGAAACTCACCACCATATTAAGTGAAGTAAGCCTGACTGAGAAAGACAAATATCACAATGCTCTTTCTTACATGAAGAATCTACACCTTAAAAAAAAAAAATGACATGATTGTAAAAAAGGATTGTTTGGAGGTGGGAAATAGCAGAGTGAATATGATTAAGTATTTCATATGTATATATGAAAACAGAAGAATTCAACTCATTAAAAATTGTTCAAACTACAGGTAAGGGGGTAAAAGTTACAGAGGGATTAATTTGATTAAAATAACATATGAATTAAATAATATAATGAAATCATTTTGAATAATCAGTATATGCTAATAGAAAAGAACTGACATCAAAGGTGTTTGGGAAATGCCATAATAAAAATAAGTTCTATACTTGAATTTCCGTTATTTTCCTGATACTGTCAAAGCTATCTATGTAATAATGTCATTGAAGCAATTTGGTTAAGCAATTCAAGGCTGCTATTTTCATGTTTTGCATTCAATGCAAAAGTATTCAGCTATTTTCAAATTTATGAATTACATTTAAGATACACACCTGCCAACGGAACAGACTGCTTTACATGTGTAATAAGGTTGTCTGCTGGAGTTCTCAAGGTCATATAGTACAATCACACCATCTGAACCACCTGATAACATGCTGATAATAAAAAAGGTCACATTAATTTACCATTTTATGAAGTCGATTTATGTATGATGAATGTATATTTCTGAAAATTGGTTTGTAAATGTCTAACTGTATTAAGAACATACGTATACAATTAATTCTCACTAAAAGACATCAATAAACTAAACTTTCTTAATTTTGTATCTGTAGAAATATTGTGACTAAAGAAAGTAAAATAGCCATGTGCTGGTGGCTCATGACCACAATCCTAGCTACTCAGGAGGCTAAGATCTAAGGAGAGAGAAAAGTCTGTAAGACTCCAATCTCCAATTAACCTTTAAAAAAAAAAAAAAAAGCTAATTGTGGAGCTGCAGCTCAAGTGGTAAAAGCACTTATATTGAGCAAAGCATTACAGGGACAGAGCCCAGAACCTGAGTTTAAGTCCTAGAACTGGTACAAAACAGAAAATTTTATTCTAAAGTTATTATAAAGTTACTTTAAATGTTCTACTTATACCTACGCTAAATGAAAAGTGAGTCAGATTAGCCATTACTGATAGCAGCTATCGGACCCTGAGTGAATTATATCAAGTAATCAAGCCTTTCTACATCTGTAAGAAGAAATGGGGGACAAAGAGACTATTGCCCTTAAATCACAAAGTTGATGTGATAGTACAACACCAAGTTCTTTTTATAGTAGCTTCCTTACTTCTCTTATGAATAGATGCACTGACCTTCAGCTGAGTACCTACTTACAATATGTAAGGTACTCTGCTAATATCTAAGAACAAAGTAAGCTAGTTCCTGTTCTCTTGGGAGTGTTAAACTATCATAGGAAAGACAAGTAGTACACAAAATCACACATATGGTTAGTTTTAATCAGGATCAATATGATAGTCACATTTCTAAAGCATTAATTCTTATATTTATTCACTTATTTTGTCCTGGAACAGGATCTGAACTCTTGACCTGACTTTTGCTAACTACCTGATGCTCTACCACCTGAGTCCCCTCCTACAACCCCTATTTGTTTGTATTCTTTCTGCTTTTAGCCTTCATTTTTCTTTTTTTTTGTCTGTTGTGAGGCTTGAACTCTGGGCCTAAGTTCTCTCCCTCAGCTCTTCAGTTCAAAGCTAGCACTCAACCACTTGAGCTACAGCGCCACTTCCAGTTTTCTGGTAGTTTATTGGAGATAAGAGTTCAGGGAAACTGCAATCAGCCTCCTGAGTAGCTAGGATTACAGGCATGTAATTTCATTTTGAAATAATTTTAACCTTGAGTTTGATCCTCTCATTTCTAATTTTTGCAATTGTTCTACAGGTTTCATCTTTTAAAATAAACTTAGCTGCTTGAAATAGTAGGTCAATATTCTCATGTTTTATACCTACTGGGCACTACTCACCGACAGTATTTGCTTTGGTTTTAGAATATTTTTATGCTGACTTTGACTTTAATCCAATTTTAAATGATTTTGTGGCTCAGTTAAAAAAACAGAAATAATAGTGAATTTAAATTAACTAAACTTTTAATTTTGATTGATAAAATGTTTAAACACAGTTGAGAATGACATGATACCACAAATTCTCAAAAGATTTTTTTGTGTGCTGATACAGTGTTTTAATATAGGGCCCTTGCTGCTTTCACTTTGCTTTCTTGTTTAAGACTACCATTCAACCACTCAAGCCAAATACCCACTTCTGGCTTTTTGCTAGTAAAATAGAGATAAAGAATCTCTCAGATATATCTGTCCAGGCTGGCTCTGAATTGAGATCCTCAGATCTGAGCCAACAGCCTCTGGCCCCAAAAGATTTCTGGTTCATACTTTAATATTGGTTTTGATTTTTACTATGACACTGTAAGTAAATCATCAATCTAAAACAATTATTTCTATAGGTGAATTTTTTGAGTTAATTTTTAAAATTTTATTGTCAAGGTGATATAAAGAGGGGTTACAGTTATATAAATAAGGAAATGATTACATTTCTTGTCTAACTTGTTACCCCTTACCTCATTTTTCTCTATAGATGAATTTTTAAATGAATTTCACTGGTATTTATAATAATGTACTTTACAATTTTATTTTGTTAATGGCTCCCCATTAATAAGTTTTTGCTTGATTCTATTAATTGGATAAAGAATTTGAACCATTATTGAAATTAACTAATTTCATATTTGAAATATCTGATGGCACTAACATTCTTTAACTATGATGGAGAGACCATATTACATAATATTGGCTTTATGTTTTAATATAGAAAAGAAAACATGGTTTTAAATGTGAATGAAATTAATATAGAAAAATCGAGAAGACAGAAACTTTAAGCTTCAGAGAATGATATGCAAATGTACCTCCCATCTGTAGCTGAACCTGTTAACATGCAATTTTTAGATAGTCTTCTTAAAATGATATTTAATTTTTAAGGTAAATGCTTCCTTCCAGATTTGTGTATTCTGATTTCTACTCTGATTTTCAGCGGCATGACTACAACACTGAAGGTGGATAGTAAATATTAAGATATTTTGAATATCTGTATGATTTTGGCAGTACAAAGTTCTATTAAACATTCACTTATATTTTAAGGGGTTTAATGCAAAATACATGTGTTTGCAAACAGTAAAATAAATAGTTGTAGTTTTTCCATATAATAAAGAGGAAAAGCAGCCAGGTGCTGGTGGCTCACACCTATAATTCTAACTACTCAGGAGGCTGAGATCTGAGGATTGCAGTTTGAAGCCAGTCTGGGCAGGAAAGTCTTGTGAGACTCCAATTAATCACCAGAAAACAGGAAATAGAACATAGCTCAAAGTGGTAGATAGAGCTCGTGTCTTGAGTTAAAGAGCTCAGGTATAGGCCCCAAGATCAAGCCTCAGGACTGGCAGAAAAAGAAAAAGAAAAAGAAAAAAAAAACCCACCATCACAAGCCTTTAAATTTTCCCCTATATGCTCTATTATTTTCCCCAGCTTATATTTCTCAAATATATTCCATATGTATATACTCTATAATTCCCCACATTTCCTACCTGCCTGAAGCCTACTGGCTTCATAGATTTAACAGGGCACATAACCAATCACTATGTCAAAAGGTTGGCTGCATTAACAGTATTGAGTGTTTTTGGTTTATTTCTATCAGCATCTAAGACGAAAAAAAACCAGCCATCCCTTGCTAATCATGTCTGTTTATATTTATAAATGAGTGCCACACAGCTGTCCTTAAATAAGAAGTGTTATGTTAAGATTGGAAAAGTCAGGAAAACTAAAGAATTATGGCTGGGCATCCTTTAAATTTTAACCACACACTCAAAGATTCTGTTTATTGCATATGTTTCTCATATAAAAATAGCTGAGACTATGGCAGAAGCTAAGTTAAACATTTCTTATATTTTAATATAAATGATCAGTTACTCTAAAATAAAATGCCAAACAAACCATAAAATAGCAAATTATTTTCTTTAGTTAGTTTTACATATGGTTTAATTATAGCTCACATGAAGGGCTTTAAAGTTTTGAATCGTTCCTCCCTTCCTCAGCCTTCCTATCTCTCTTTCTGACATTTTTTTCTTTCTTTTTTTACTTTTGATGCTAGGATTGCAATCTGAGCCTTGTGCATGCTAAGCACACATTCTACCACTGAGATGTATCCTCTGACTCTGAACTTTTTTACTTATAAGACTAATACAGTGCTGTGATGATGAGTTGTGAACAGAGTAAAATATTCAGACTTTCATTTTTCCAAGTACTTCAACTGTTGCTTGAGCAATGATTATATATTTTCTCAATTACTGCTTATAAAAATGTTAGGTAGTAGGCATTATAGCAAAGGCAATTGAAAATTTGAAGTTAGGTAAACTGTAAAGATCATAAAACTGGTTAAGTGGTAAAGCTAGGAGAAACTTAAAATTGTTTGCTTCAAATTTAAAATACTTTTATTTTTATATTTGCTTTGCCATTAAATGCCTTGAAAGTAGCAATCATGTTTTACAAATATCACCTAAAGATGTGTCCTTGACCTCAAAATAAATTGAATGTTTATTGATTTATCAATGAATATATTTATGCAAAGTAGTTTGGAAATGTCTATTTAGCAATGTCTTGTGATGTAGATGTAATATAGATGTGATGTTCTATATTGAACTTTAATAATACCATAAAAATTAACAGTGATTAATACTGACAAATGATAAAATTTTGAATTTTTAGAATTAAAATTTAGATTCTAAAATTTAGAATTTTTACCTTTTAAAAATGAAATTTCTACTAATTAATCTAAAAAGGCAACATTATTCACATTTCATTTAGAAAGGCAAATGATAATACAGGTATAATGAACTTACTATCTCCCTTCAATAGGTTCAATGTCAAGGGTGTTAATGCCACTGCTATGAATTCTTTCAACATCTCTGTCTTTGTTTAACTCCAGTCCCAGTACCCTTTAAAAATTAAAAGGGAGGAAAAAGAGATAAAATTAAACAACTTAATACAACAATTTTTTTATTTCTCCACATATAACACAAAAATTCACATATAACACAAAAATCATAAGTATATGCTTAACTCTTTTATCACGTATTTAAAGGTAAAACTTTCTATAAACCTTAAAAATTACATAACAAGCTCACCATAAACATTAAAAAGTTCATCAGTTAAAAAAGTTAAAAAAGTTTAGTTACAAGTTTTCATGAACAAAGTTAAATGCTAATAAACTTAACAGGATACTTATGGGCTAAAGCTTAAATTACAGAATTTTTTAAAGTTCTCTTAAATGTCTGTTAAAAACAAGTAGAAATACAAAATATGTTGAGGTAACAAAGGTATTTAAATAAAATGAATTTTCTCTTTTGAATAGAACTCTGATCCCAAGAGAGTAGAGTAAAAACACATTGTTTTGCTTTGTTGGTAGGGACACCTCCAACATGCCAGGCATGTGATCCACTGCTTGATCAAAGGTGCCAGACCTTTCATATACAAACAGTAACTTTGGCCAGACTGGCCTAAACTTAAGCTCCTCCCAACTCAACCTCCTGAGTAGATGGCATTACAGATAAGCACCATCAAATCTGGTTCTCATTGTTTTTTTAATCAGTCTTTTCACTTGCGGAAACACAACCTTTTCACTTGTGAACACACTTTAAGCCCAAACATGGAAATGTGTGGTAAAACACAGAAACCAAAGCCCCAAATTTCTGACTGAAGGACCAAAATGGGAATCCTAGAGAACTGGGAAGGTGGTGGCAGCTCAGGAAGGCAATCTGAAGCCACTGCTTATTAATTACAGGACTTATTCTTCAATAAAGAATACATGGATCTAATCCAATCACTGACTGATCTGAGTTAAGTACCACCTGGGCAAAAATTTTAAAATCTGAAGATACGGTAAAAATTGAGCTGATGTCAAAATGGCAGCCCACATATGAGTAATAAACTTGTAGCCTGAACAAAACATCAATATTCTTGATAGACTGAAACAACATCTAACAAGGTAGCCAACATGTTCAGGATCCAATCCAAATTATTCTGTACATGAAGAACCATGAAAATTGTAACTTGCATGGGAAAAGTAAATAGAAGCCAAATTTTATATAATAACATGGGTTTTGGAAGCACCTGATAAAGACTTCAAGGCAGCCATTGTGAAATGAATGAGACAGGGCAAACACAATTGAAACAAATATTAAAATATAAAGTTTAGTTTAGCCAATAAACAAAAGAACCAAATGGAAATCTTAGAATTTGTCAATATAAACTACTGTAACTGTAGACTAAAAAAGTAGATGAAAGCAGACAGAAGAAAGAGTAAACTTGAGGAGAGAACAATTTAAATTACTCAAACTATGAACATAGGGTACAAAAAGACTCAGAGAGAGTAAAGAACAGTCTCAGGGACCAGAGGAACAATTAAAACAGGACTGAGACTTATATCATTAGAGTTCCAGGAGAGGAAAAAAATGGCTGAAGTACACCACCCTTAAAACAAAACAAAAAATGGTTGAAAACTTTCTATGTTGCAAAAGATATAAATCGATATTCAAGAAGTAGAAGCAATGCTAGATAAGATAAATACAGAGAAATCCATTCATAGACACACTATAATCAAACTGCTGAAAATTAGACAACTATAACTCAGAGAAAAATGACAAAATTCCTACAGAGTAAAATGATTTGAATGACTTCAATCTCTTCAGAAACTTAGAGCCATCAAATCTATTCTAAATGAATTGGTATCTGATCATCAAAAGAAAAGAAATTATGTAAGAAGTCAACTTGAGACATCAGGTATGAAGACTGAGCAAGAGAAATGGTAAATATCTGAGTAAAATAAAAAATTCTTTTCCCTTGAAATATACTCAGGGATTGTAAACAAAAAAACATGGTGTCTGATGGAAGTTGAAAAAAGCATACTAAAGATTTTACATACCAAACAAGCAAATAATTTTAAGTACAGAATGAAAAAGTTAGGTACTTTATTTTTCATAGAGAATTACATTACATGTATTACATTCTTATGTTTCATATCTTTTATAATAGTCACGTCAGTCATACCTTGCCATTTGTTTTGATTGATGATTTTGTAAGTTTTTTTTTTTTTGTCGGTTGTGGTGGGGCTTGAACTCTGGGCCTGGGCGCTGTCCCTTAGCTCTTCAGCTCAAGGCTAGCGCTCTACCACTGGAGCCACAAAGCCACTTCCGGCTTTTTCTGCTTATGTGGTGCTGAGGAATCGAACCCAGGGCCTCATGCATGCAAGGCAAGCACTCTACCACTGAGCCACCTTCCCAGCCCAATTTTGTAAGTTTTTGAAGAGTATCAACTCTTCAGCTGGGGAGTTAACACAGTTAGACTTGCCTGCCATTCACAAGGCCTTAGAGGTTTGATCCCTAGCACCACACACAAAAATCATCTCTTTTGCATATTTCATCAGCACACATTAAAATTAAATACTAAGTAAAACTGGCATTAATTGGGTCAGGAAGAAATACTGACTTTTGATAAGCACACAAAACAATTGGTAGATGAAATGTGCGAGATCACTAGAGTGTATGTTTTCAGCAAGAAATCATATTCTACAGAAAAATAAAATCTGTATACATACACACAGATTCATCTAGTGCTTTGTCTAGGAAATCTCTATTCTCTCCTGATTGTGAAATTTTATTTAGTTTTTAATGAAGTGAGAGATTCAGGTCACAGAATTTTGAAAAAGACATATACTTACTTGCTTCCTCAGGCAAGCATGGTTTGGAATTAAAAAACCACGAGAAACTCCATTTTTCAGGTCCTCAGTAACTCACATGTTTACATTGTGGCTGATACTAGTAGATTCCTAATGTCTTAGATTTCATTACAGAAAATATTAGTAATGCTTTGTTTAAAAAAAAGTAAAGCTAATTTTGCTGAAATTACTAGCAAGGTCACTTATTTTCTAATGTTTAGCTTGCTAATCAAAATGGAAGAAATGCAGAACTCTTTGGAGTAAACAAATCACATTATCAGAGGAGATGAACCAAGTTTAGCACATATACATTTTGCATGAATTCTTGCATTAACTGAAATATCTGGATATATTCATGTACTCTAGCCTATTAGATTGATGAGTGAATTGAAAAGGAATTACTATCATTTCTGTACTAATAGGAGTTAACAAAGTATTCAGCAGAAGATGCAACCCCAATTATATGTATAACTAACCAACATATGGCTTAAAAAAAAAATTGCTGAGTTCCAGTGTCTCATGAATCCTAGCTACTCAGGAGACTGAGATCTAGAGTTTCACAGTTCAAAGCCAGTCTGGGCAGAAAAATTTGAAAGATTGTATTTCCAACTGGCCAGTAACAAAAACTGGACTGGAGGTATGGCTCAAGTAGAAGAACTTATTTAGTTAAACTTTCATTTAACATTTATCATTCTCTACACATAAATTATAAAACCCAGTGCCCTATAAATGCTGAAAACAGTGAAGTGATTAATATGTATTAAAAACAATTTATCAGGCTGGGAAGGTGGCTGAGTGGTAGAGCGTTTGCCTTGCATGCATGAGGCCTTGGGTTTGATTCCTCGGCACCACATAAGCAAAAAGAAAAAAGCTGGAAGTGGCGCTGTGGCTCAAGTGGTAGAGTGCTAGCCTTGAGCTGAAGAGCTGAGGGACAGCGCCCAGGCCCAGAGTTCAGGCCCCACGACCGGACCCCCACAAAAAAACAACAATTTATCATTTCTGTCTGTTTCCCAGTTGTGGTGGAGAAGTCTAGAAAATGGTCTCAAAGTCCTGTTACTCATGGTATTAGGTAGTACCCTCTCTCTGAATGTGATCTAGAAACAGTGATTCAGTTCTTTTTTCTTTTTCTTTTTTAATTGTGGGGCTGAACTCTGGGCCTGGGCGCTGTCTCTCAGCAATTCAGCTCAAGGCTAGAGCTCTACCACTTGAGCTTTTTCTGCTTATGTGGTGCTGAGGAATCGAACCCAGGGCCTCATGCATGTGAGGCAAGCACACTACCACTGAGCCACCTTCCCAGCCCTAGTGATCCAGTTCTAATGACTGGAACATAACAAAAATGGTGAGATGATGCTTCCGGATTAGGTTATAAATAGAGTCTGGCTTCAATCTTGCTATTAGTTGTCTGCTATGACAGAAGCCAGTAGTCAGACGTGATCTGTCCAACGACAAAGCCTCTTGGAATAGATGGTTAATTCCAGATAAAAGCCAGGTTAGCCAGGCTCTGGTGGTTCACACCTATAATCCTGATATCTGAGGATTCTGATGTGAGCAGAAAAGCCCTTGAAACTCAATCTACAATTAACCACCAAAAAGCTGGAAATTGAGTTGTGGCTTCAGTGGTAGAATGCAGGCCTTGAGTCCAAAAGCTCGGAGCCCAGGCCCCATGTTCAAGCCCTGGGGTGCACACATGCACACACACACAAAGCTAGTGCATAAGTTAACCACGTACAACACCTAATAGTGTTAGGAAGCAGACTGTTCTCTAGTGAACTTTTGAGTAAGTATAGCCCAAATCAATCTCATTCTTTTCTTCAGTGCTTGGTATTAAACCCAGGATGTTGTACATGCTTGGCAAGCAAGTGCTTTCATTGAGCTACATCCCTAGTCTCCTACCTCCTTCTACTTCCTTCCCCCATCTTCTCATATAAATCAGCCTAATCTCTACTGTACCCTTCTTATTTCTGCTTTTTTTTGGTTGGTCGTGGGGCTTGAACTCTGGGCCTGGGCACTGTCCCTGTGCTCTTCAGCTCAAGGCAAGCGCTCTACCACTTGAGCTACAATGTCACTCTTTCTGGTGGTTTATTGGAGATAAGAGTTTCACTGTCTTTCCTGCCAGGGCTGGCTTTGAACTGTGATCCTCAGATCTCAGCTTCCTCAGTAGCTAGGATTACAGCCACCAGCGCCCGGCTGTTTCTGCTTCTTGAGTGCTGGGATCACAAAAATATACCACTATGCCATCACCACCCATTATTTTGATTGTGGTCTTGTGAGAGGACACTAAACCAGATAGAGGCCCTCGTTAAGTCACATATAGATTTTTGGCATTTTGAACCATAATAAATCTTTCAGTTGTATTTACTAATTCCAGAGGACTTTGTTATTCTGCTAATAGTAAGTAGTACTCTGACAAGATTTTTTTCTTTGGAATATGGGAACAAAATCATATCCATTAGGTTGTTAACAAGCAAACCGCACTCCTTGATTTTTCTATCAAATTAAATTTCTTTTCAGGCTGGGAAGGTGGCTCAGTGGTAGAGTGCTTGCCTTGAATGCATGAGGCCCTGGGTTCAATTCTTCAGCACCACATAAGCAGAAAAAGTCAGAAGTGGTGCTATGGCTCACGTGGAAAAGTATTAGCTTTGAGCAGAAGAGCTGCAGGACAGCACCCAGGCCCAAAGTTCAAGCCCCATGACCGACCAAAAAAAAAAAAATTTAAAAGTTGTAAATATTAATAGTCTCCATTTCCTTTTCTTTTATGCAATTCACTAACGTCTTAGTTTTATTTCTATCATTTGTAAGAAACTGTTCTTACCATGGTCTTAGTGATTACTGTGGTGGTTCAATGAAGCATACCTGTAATTCCTCTGTTTACTGAATAAATGTTATTCACATAACACTTAATAAAGGTCTACTATGCCAAACCCTGATTTGGGACTAAAATATGGTTTCATTTATCTCCTAGGTAGAAAGAATAAAGCCAATATAGTAGTAAGGAAATATGTAACTACAGTAGGAATAAACTATACTGAAAATTAAATAAAGCCAAATAATGTGATAGAGGACTACTAAGGGCAAAGTATGTGAGGAGTAGATGGCAGCCAGCATCCCACACATATGATGGCTCTCACCTCAAGTACTGTCATCCTTCACCATCTATGACATCTCACCTTCCAGGTTTTCCTTTTACTTGATGGTTACTTTTTGTGAATTCCTCCGCAGTCTCTTCTTTTTGTTTTGTTTTTTAAGCCCTGAGCTACTTCTTTTTCTTACTCCTACAAATAGTAGGACGATCTAATCTTCTCCTCCTGACTTTGTACATCATCTTACGTGAAAGAAAAGTTTTCCCAAGCAGAGAATTTATTAATATAACTATGTCCTCCCCTCTACAGGTGAATATCTTCATGTGTCCCTCAAAATTAATAAAAATCAATAGTAAAACTTGTTTTCCGTTTGGAATGTCACGAATATGATACTAACCTCCAATACAAGGCATACATCTGGAAATCAAGGCACCTATTTTGCAATCATTATCGACTCCTTTTTCAGCCTTATCCAGTCAATTTTACTGCTGTTTTTATTTCTTTGATGTTTTCCAGACTTCTTCATTTCCTTCAACCTATCTGCCACCTTCCTGCCCAAAGCTTCTGCCAACTCGCCACTGGGCAAGCGAGATACCTAATATGGCAACTTTACTTTCTCAATTTCAATCATTTCCCAGGTGGAATAGAAAGCTGCAAGGCAAAAACCAGACACTGCTGGCTCACGCCTGTAATCTTAGCTACTCAGTGGCTGAGATCTGGAGGATCACTTTTGGAGGCCAGCCAAGGAAGAAAAGTCCCTTGCCACTTCATCTCCAATTAAACAGCAAAAAAGCCCAGCTATGAGTGCGGATCAAACTGTAGTTTGCCAGGCGAGAGTGAAAACGCCGAGCCGGAATGTGAGCCTCTGAGTCCAAGCCCCGGTTCCGGCAAAGTAAAACAATAAAGGAAACTCCTAGGCAAAGTAGGTAGCTGCAGTGTCATCATCTTCATCCTTTCCCCCAAGCACACAAGCTCGTCTACATCCAGCTCCGGCTTCTGTGGGCACTGGCCTCCGATCCGATCCATACAGCCCTTGATCAGGGCTCCAACTGCGGAAAGGTCAGAGGAAAAGGTTAAGGTGCTCTTTACCTGCGTGTGGACTCGGCTCTCCGGAAGCGAAGCGGGTCCTCTAAACCTGCTTGCCGAGAGACCAAAAAGCCCATCATCCCGCTTCCACAGACCAGCGCCAACACTGCACGCCGCCATGACAGAGGTTAGAGGCCGGGCTCTAACAGCAGAGCCTCCCATTGGTCAGGCGGTGATAGAGCTGGACCAATAGAAAGCGTCGATACTAGACGGGCACGGGGACTGGACTACGTTGCTCTCTTTCAGCCGGGTGGGCGGGGTTTCCAAGGGCTGCCGCAGACCCGCGGAGACTTCAGCGGGAAGTCGGGCTGCCGGCATGGGCTGGTCCCGGGGTCTGCTCGGCACCTTGTGGAGAACACTGTCCAAGGAGGTGAGGGAGCATGTGGGCACAGACCACCTCGGGAACAAGTACTACTATGTCCCGGAGTACAAGAACTGGCGAGGTGAGACGAGAACGAGGTCAGCGGGAGCCCGGTTAGAGAAGTGCCAGCGACCGCGGTCGGGTTCAGTGACGCGCCCCGCTGCCGTCGCGGGGGCTCGGGAAGGGACGTCCCGGGTGTGTCCCTTCACTCCGGGCTGGGCCGGGGGCCTTGCCCCCCTGGGCCTTGCCCCCCTGGGCCTTGCCTGGGAGCTCAGCGCCCTCGAGGCTCGCACTCACCCGCCTCCAGGGCAGAGCTTAGTCCTTGCCCTGGGGGGAGAGAGTTTTTTCCCCTCTGGAACTCGGGCTTTGCTTGAATCCATGCTGAGATTATGAGAGCTGAGTGGAGTAATTGAAGAGGGGTGTCTTCAGCGCCCTACTTTCCTCCTCCTCAGTGGCGCCTAGTCTGGGGTTCCTCGCGTCCCCTCCCCTTCATCACAACCAACACCTATGAGAAGGAAGGAGGCCACACTCACCGATCTTTTCTGATCCTGTTTCTTTTCCCAGGAACGTGTGCCCCAAGACCTCCCTCGAACTCCATTTAAGAAACGTGACTAATAGTGTTGTTTCTCTACAGGATTCGTGCCTAGATTAGTGCCTAGTGGGTTGTTTGGGGACTTGGGAGAGGCTCCCGTCCGTTGAAATCACATCATGTAACGGTATTCGTAACTTCTCTGTTGTTCCATCACTACCGTGGAAGTTTGGGGCGCAACGGTGTGGTAGCTCAGCTTGTCATCCAGTTACATGGGAAGCGTAAATAGGAGGAATGGGGTCCAAAATCCCTAAAGCAAAAAGGACTGCTACAGACATAGCTAGCAAGCAGGAGGCCCTGAGTTCAAATCCCAGTACTGCCAAAATAAACAAGCAAATAAATGAAGTGAATCAAGATTTGGATGAAGAAAAAGTTGAATTTGTCTTGCAGTTCTAATACTAATAGCCGGAGGGCCAAGGATAAAATAGAATTTTTCACTTAGTATTTTTGCCTTGATTTTGAGACAATAATTGTAACAGTACTATTGATAATTGTAACACGAATATTGAAAAGCATAGACTATTCAGAATTATGTTTCTTTTTATTTCCTGTACATATTGACTGTTATATAATTTCTCACTTAAATTTGTTTTACCTAGTCTTTTCCAATAATTTATAATATTTAGGGTTGTTTCCTTAATGAGCTTTTAAACTCTTGTTATGCAGAGAATATGCTACTTTCTGTTTCCTGTCTCCAACAACTTCATTTCTGACAATGGATTAGTTTGCATTTTCTAGAGTTTTATATAAATGGAAGTATATAGCATGCCTATTTTTTTTTTCTGGACTTTTTTTCACTTATCTTGAACTTTGTGTGTGTGTGTGTGTGTGTGTGTGTGTGTGTGTGTTTATCCAAAAGTTTATTCTTTTTTATTGCTAGATAATTGAATTATTTCCAGGTTGGGGCTATTACAGTAAGTATGAATATCCATGTACTAGTATTTGTATAGTTAGGCCTTTTCTGTTTATTACGAATGTCTAGGAGTGGAATGACTGGGTCAGTTTGTAGATGTATATTCCACTGTTTTAAGAAGCAGCTAAATTGATGGTACACTATTTTTTTTTTTTTTTTGCCGGTCGTGGGGCCTGAACTCTGGGCCCCGGCGCTGTCCCTCAGCTCTTCAGCTCAAGGCTAGTGCTCTACCACTTGAGCCACAGCGCCACTTCTGGCTTTTTCTGCTTATGTGGTGCTGAGGAATTGAACCCAGGGCCTTATGCATGCAAAGCAAGCACTGTGCCACTGAGCCACCTTCCCAGCCTGGTACCCTAATTTTTAACAGCATTAAAAGTTTCAGTTGTTCCACATCCTTATCAACATGTAGTATAATTATTTAATTTTGTTGAATTTTCTGTAAGAGTTTATTAAGAATTTGTATTATTTCTTAGATGCTTCATATAAACAACTGTAAAATTTATATAATCATGGTGTTTTCTTCAGTGGTAAGTTTTTTATTTTTTTTAAAACTACAGATAACTTTAACAGATATAAGACCCCCTCATGTTATTTTCTCTTGTATGACCTTTAATATTTTTTGTGGGGGCTGTCTTTTTTTATAATATATATTTTTTATTGTAAAGATACTGTACTGAGGGGTTACAATTATATGAGTAAGGTAATAAGTGAGTACATTTCCTATGGAGCTTTGTGGGGTTGTCTTTTTTATCTAACATGTTGAGTTTATGGTCTTCAGCTTCTTAGTATTTCTTCATTTAAAATTATTTTTTAGTATTTGTACTAAATAGGGTGTGACTAGTCAACAATATTAATTGCACAATGTTGGCTGTACCCCACTTTAAATGTAGAATTTGTTAAATATTTTTAGTGTAAAAATATTATGTTTTAGTGTGTTTATGAATATATTTTGTAAAGGAATAAAAATGTTTGGTCTTTACTAGTATGACTTTTTTTCATATTTAGTGATAAAATTATTTGGAATAGTAACAATACCTTGTACCATATTGAGAACAACCAAAAGGATTGATCTTTTTTCCTAAAAATGAGAAATACACACTAAAAATGTAAAGATCATTATATCAATATTTCTAGGAATATAATTTAGAAATGGTTTTTGTTTGTTTTTGGTGCTGGTCCTTAGGCTTGAACTCATGGCCTGGGTGCTGCCCTTGAGCTGCTTCTTTTGCTCAAGGCTAGTGCTCTATCACAAGGCTAGTACTCTATCACTTGAGCCATAGTGCCACACTGGCTTTGAACTCAGATCCTTAGATCTCAGCCTCCTGAGTATCTAGGATTATAAGCATGAGCTACTGGCACAGGGCTAGAACTATTTTAATAGATAATCATCTGTGGGCTTTGAGTGCTGACCATGTCTTTTAAAGAAGGTAGCTAGAACTATGGGCACCAGAGGCTCACACCTGTAATCCTAGCTGTTTAGGAGGCTGAGATCTGAGGATCACATTTGGTTCAAAGCTACCCTGGACAGTAAAGTCCATGAGATTTTTTTCTCCATTAACCACCAAAAATAAATAAATAAATAAAAAAAAATGAAGCTAGGGATCAACTAGAAGAACACCAGCTTTTAGTGAAAAAACTAAGCGGTAATGTTCAATGCAGGAATTGAAGCCCTAATACTAGCACAGAAAAAAAAGAAAAGAGGAGGGAGGGAGGGAGAGAGAAAAGAAAAAGAAGGTAGCTAGAAGTAGTTCCAGCTTTATTGATTACCATACCTGGAGTCCTAACAATTTGTCTGATTTCAAGTCATTAGCTTTATATAGCCAAAGTCCTGTGATGTTGCTTGGCATAAAATTTTATCTTTGTTGGTGCCAGTAAGTTTTGGACTTAGGCTTTGCACTTGCTAGGCAGATGCCCTATTGCTAAGCCATCTTTCTAGCTCTCTTTTGCACTGGTTGCTTTTGACATATGCTTCCTGATTAGGTCCACCTGGACTGCAATCCTATTTTCACCTACCAATGAAATTAGGATGATAAACTAGGATGAAGTCAAGAATCTAACACAGATGGAATTTTGTGGATTTTCAGCCCAGATTAGCTTTGAATGTAGGATTGTATGTGTGAATCTCCAAATCTGGCTTGAAGAATTTTTTAAGTTGTTTGCCAGTGGACATCATGAATATCTGAGTTTGAGGAATTTTATGCAAAAATTGTAGTTTAGAGTATAATGTTTGGTTCAGTGCACCACACTTTAAGGGAAATAATTGGAACTTTAGTGTCCCAAGTAGAGTGGTTTTGGTGATGAAAAATCCTAAAAATTGTATATATATTTACCATCTGTGACTCTTGAGAAGGAGCTTCAAGTATTTGAAAGATTGTTATGTAGAAAAGGATTAGACTCATATTTCTAATCTAATTCAGAGCTTGGATCAGAGGATAGATAGATGTTTATCATGTTATAAGAACAACTTTCAGTCTGTTAGAGCTGTGGTTGAAAAAGAACTGAGTGCTCAGTGTTTGGTTCTAACTGGGAGAATTTAGGGAGATAGGTAAATGGAAGCATTTGATCAACACTTCGAGGGAGCAATATGAGTACAGAGTGATAGAGTATTTCTGGTCAGCAATAGGAAAGGGTAGGAAATGTCACAGATTGAATTTCATGTGGATTGACTTAAGAAGAAAATGTTTTTACTGAGGTAATACACAAGATCAGATTACTAGAAGCCTTGAGTACTATTTGCTTATGGTTTTACCTAATTCTATAGATATTAGATAGCTAGTGAACAGAGAAATGAAGCAGTTTGAGCTATAAGAGAAATGGCTGTAGTGACCATGTATTTATTAGAATCATTGAAAGATAGCCCATTGAACTATCGTAATGAGATTGGAAAGAAAAATTAATATTAAAGCAAAAGGTGGTAACATTAAAGAATAATTGAAGGAAGCCTCTTATAAGTTTCATCTAGTGTGTTAGTTTTCATAACACAGAATGTCAGATGATGTGTGACATATCAGAGGCTGTTCACATTAGTGATGCCTGGGATTTCCTGTAGAGCACAGGTGACATTTCCATATTTGGACTTGACCTTATCATTCATTTTTTTATCTTAGCCCCATTGCTCTCATGTCTTGGGATTTTCTCAGGACATAGATTGGAGAACCTATAGATTCTTTCCATCTACCTATGCTATTTGTAGACCAGCAGCACTACTGAGCTTGCTTTTTTTATCTCATCCTGTACCATTCATTAATTTTCTCATGTAACAAGTGGTTATTGAGCAGTACTCTGAGAAAAGCATGTCTGTTTTATGTATTTCAGATAAATTGGCTTTAGTTTTAGGCCTTTTTATTATTTCCAGTATCAGAGTTTCAACTTAGGGCCTTGCTTTTGCTCAGCTTTCTTGCTTGGCTAGCAGTCAACCACTTGAGCCATGCCTCCAACCTAGCTTTTTGCTGGTTACTTTGGAGATGAAGTCTAAAGGACTTTTCTACTGGAATTGGCTTCGAATCTTGATCCTCTAGATCTCATCCTCCTGTATAAGATTGTAGGCCTGGGCTTCTGGTGCCCAGCTTAGTTTCACAGT